TGGCACAAACAAATCCCATTATAGCTCATTTGGCTGGGGGACCATGTTCCTGGATTTCCCTTACCTATAAACTCAATGTGATTGCTCATAATTGCTTTCAAACAGCACACGCATACCTTCATGCTACAGACAGCTTCCTCCCTCAGCCTTTGCTCAGCATTTTGCATACACGTGAGACTGCAGCATTGTCTGCAAAAATAGCGCTGCTCTGAAAATATGACACTTTGGGGGCTGCAAGAGCTTTAATTTCTAGGAAGTGGAGGGGGTTGTTTTCTACTCTTCAGCTGTTCATACTATTTCCCTGTCAGTGAGAGGAGGGTAATCTGCTAGTGAATAAAAATAGAGCATGAGAGTAGACTAACTCTCTGTGCTTTCATCAGGTATACAACAATTAACCCCTTAGCAACTGTGGAGGTGCAGGGGAGTGTCATCATCCCAGTTGTGTGGGATGGAGGGAGCAGAGAGAATAATTGACTTTCTAATAATGTTGTTATTCTTGTAGAGCTAAAATGAAAAATAGAATTTTTGAGCTCACCACTCAAAATTATATGCTATATTTTACCTTGGTCTGACCATCTCACATGGGACAGGGGTAGGATGGAAGGATGTTCGCTGAAGAAGCTCCCTGAACTTGTAGATGATGCAAAGGACATACATTATTCTTCTATCTGCCAAGTCCTTGTGTTTTTTCCTAAAATACTTTATTTGAATAGAATCATAGGATCTCCTGAGTTCAAAGGGACTTGTTGGGATCACTGAGTCCAACTGCTTGCTCCATACAGGCCCACTCAAGTATCGGGCCATATGTCTGAATGCATTGTCCATCCACTCCTCGAAGTCTGGCAGCTTGTGGCTGTGACTGCACCCCTCAGGAGCCTCTTCCAGGGCCTGAGCACCCTCTTATGTAGACCCTTTTCCTGATAATCCAACCTAAAAAATGGCATTAATCATTTCTTTCTCTCTTTTTCACTGCTTCAGAAAAAGGCTATCATCAGCAAAGATACAGAAAAGGAGAGCATCCCTTGAGTGGATTAGGGCATTGTATGGGGATGGAGGCATGTTGAGAAGGGGCTTACTGTGGAAGAGTGGCAGAAACCAGCCAGTGAGAGTAGAAGTGGAGGAAAGGGGAGGTGTCAGATAGGGTCAGTAGAGCAGGGTAGTCCAGACCACTGCAAAGCCAGGTGGGGGGTTAGTGGGGAGTGGAGCAGCAGCAGCACGAATAGCTGATGTGGAGAGGATTGAGCCTGAGCTGTTTCTGGTGAAAGCCAATAGGTACTTGGAGAGCCTTTTGTGAACTTCTGCCTCCTGAGGAGGAAGAAGCTTGGGTCCAAAAGCAGAGGAGAAATTGGCGAGGAAAGATGGATGCTGTTTCTCACTGCCTTGCGTGTGGGAATTGCTGGTGGGTGAAGACCTGCCAAGTTTACTGCTGTTGGCTCTTCTCACTGGGAGCTTGACTGGAAGACTGTTTTTTCTAATTTCAGTTCTGGATGAGAGCTATGGGCTTTATGCAGTTGCAGGAAAGAGTCTCTGAAAAGCTTAATCTTTGCACTCTGACTTCTATACTCATTTATACTGTTCAATATATGTTTTGCATTCTTTCTATGATCTTGCCTTCCCAAAACATGAACAAAGTATCTCTTTTTTCACATCTCTACATTTCCTTTCATCTCATTCATGCATGAAATGTAACTGAGAGTATTTCTGTAGGAGTCTCTTTCCATATTGACCTTTCACAAGAACTATTCATTTGCATGGCCAATATTTTATAGCATGGAGTTTAGTTGCTTTTCTACTGCGATTTATTTATTTATTCACTAAAAACATTACAAAGGCACAAAGCACATTCTTTTGGCCTGCTGAGAATTGCTTGACATTTTTTATATTAAGCTGTGATTCACAGTAACCAGGAGACTTTCATTGCCTTGGTCTTGTCACACCGAAACTATGGCATGGAAAGGTTTAGGGTGAGTAACTTAACCTTTCTCTATTCCTCCTCCCATTCTTTCCCTGCTGAAGCAATGATGCCCACACCTTATCTGCTATGCTAATTTGAGTACTTGGTAAACTAAAAGTAATTAACAGGAGTGTGGGAGGTCTGCTCATTTCCTTTAATTATGTATTCCCAGCTAAACTTCTTAATTTCCTCTGTATTTATGCAGATGCTGCCCCTCACTGTTTTTGTGCTTTACATGGGCAGCAGTGGTGACTCCATTTTCAGGCAGCGTACGTCCCTAAGTGATAGAAGCCCCCTAAATCCTGCTCCAGCAATGGCTCTGACTTGGGAAGAGGCACTTGGGCAGCAGCTCATCTGTCTTAATACTGATGGGCTTTTCTGTGAACAATAAGAAAAGTTGTCTTTGTAAGGTTAACTCTCAGCCATCACCCATGGAAGAGAACATCCTGACCAAGGAAGGCTGCCAGGTACATACACATGGTGTTTCTGAAGCCCTCTTGCAGCATCAACATTTTCTTGTATTCAGATGCAGTAAGATTTTTGTGAAAAGTGGCTCAGTGTAACTTGGGTACTGTCCTAGGGAAGGAGGAGGATGGATTTTGTCACAGACAAAAAAATAAGCCATGCAAGTTATTCCAGGCTTCTCATATTTAGTCCCACTTGCTCACAATGTGTAGAAATCCTGAGTGTTTTTATTACAGCACAGCCACATACGTCTTGTGCAGTTCCCTGTTAAAACACTGTACCTTGCAGCTGCTAGCTCCTATTTCTCAAAGCTGACATCTGTGTAGCTGCACAGATTGGCCATGTAAAACAGCTCTCATGTTGACCTTGTGTGACTCCTAAATTAGGACACTGAAGTGTGATGAATCAAATGTAGATGGTGCAGTGATGCAAGCAGTAGTATGTTCAGGTAGTCTGCTTATTTATCTCCATTTGGTGTAATTACTTAGTCTGTCACCAAGTAGAAATGCTTGGCAAAATATGGTATTGCTTATTTGCAGCAGAGATATGACCATTTGGCTTGAGGGCTCTGGCTTTGTTCCTCTGTATGCACCAGTAGAGGAATTGTCTCCATGAAGCAGCAATATAAAACCATCAAGCTCTGTTAACTACTTCCAAGTCTGGGGGAGAAGAATTAACATTTATTTGAAATTATGAAGGAGCTGGGGTGCTTTTTTTTTTCCTGATCCAGGGCTGGATGTGTGTGACAAAGACGTAAGTAAGCCTAGAGCTGCTTGCCCAAATAATGCTAGAAGACTCAGTAAATTCAGTTAGATTAGTACTCTTACGAGTACTTACCAGTCACTTCTGTGGCTGGTTTTTCTGTCATCTGAAGAATGCATGTTAGACTGCAGCAGCCACTCCTACAATCTCCCTATCAATAAAACCATAGAGTATGTTTCCCTCAATCCTATGTAATGTACCACTGGAGCCTCAACAGAAATACTGATTTTAACAAAAATTGGGTTATGCTCTGCTACTTACTCCAGCATTGTTCCTAATGTTTTTGCTGAGTGTTAGCAAACCTCTTTTTGTTTTTATTTATTTAATTTTCTGTTGGCTTGTTATCACCTCTAAAATAGTTGGAGGCCAGCTTTGTTGGCATAGCCCCATCAGTTTGGATTGTGAAATATTCACACATCCCGGCCGACACTGCTGGATGGGCAGCATGGTGTGGGTACAGCTGTACTGACAGAGCTGCGTTTTCCTCTGCTCCATTCGTATAACTCAGAGAGCTGGTGCAGTTCTGAAAATGCATGTGCCCACTGAGGGGCTCTGGTGACACTGCCATCATGGTGGGGTGATAAGAGGATGCAGCTCCAAGTGGGTGACCTTTGAGGAATGACAGGCTGTAATGAATATATTTGGCGTCACTTGACCACAAATGGCCAATGTGTAATGCAGACAGAAGACAATGTCTGCAGTGCTCTCTATTTGCCCTCATTATTTTAATGAAGATAAATTTGGAAGAAGCATTCTGTCTTCTGTTTCGGCATTCTGCTGGCTTTTGAAGTAATTAATGTATTTCCATTCTGCTTAAAGTCGTGTGTATGTTATAGATAAAGAAATTGCCTGGCTGACATCAACTAAAATATTTATGTATGTGTGTGTGCATGTTTGAAATGAAGTCGGGAGATTTTTTCCTTTAGCTGAGGTGCACGTAGGGAAGAGACAATGTCTGATGGCCCAAATAATTTTGAATTCCTTGTCATAGCTAATGCACATTAAAGTTGGCACAGGTACTTATGAATAGGACATTTCTGACTGAAGCTGTGGGATTTTTTTTTTTGGAAAATTCTTTCTGAATGTCATATATTACACTGAGAACTAGGATGACCTGAATTTTTACTGTCCAATAAAAGAGACGATGATGCTCCTGCTAAAAGCTCTTGGTGTAGACAATGAGTTATCTTTTCATATAACATTCTAGCAATAAAAAAGGTCAGTGGAATGCTGAGAAAATGCTTTTTTTATCCATTTTTATTCTATGTGAGATACTAGGCTCTCACATTGATCTCAGCAAATGGTTTGTTTGTATTTCCCTGTATGTTAGACAGAAAAGGATCTTGGAATTAATCCACAATATTACCAAAGCAAGAAATGGCTACACATTTGGCTTTTCCTCCAATGGATTGCCAAAATCTCAGCTCTGATAATCCATTGCAGGGAATATTTTTACCATTGTTTGTTACCACCATTGCAAACAGAGTACACTCTGTTTTACTGATATATATCCTCACAATAAATCTGAGGTTGTGATTTGTGAAAGACAGAATAGATCTCTTAATTGATGTTTGCAATATGGCATGTGCTGACTTATTTTAAACTCCACAGCAAGATCTGAGTTCTTACGAAAAGTGAATTTGCCCCATTCAGTTGATTCTTATGAAGCTCCAGATTAATAGATCTGAAAAAATTAATGAGTTGAAGTAAATCATTTCTGGATTGGGTTTGAGGTTTAAACAGTAAAGATGCTATTTTAGTAGTTATGTTTATTTTTCAAACGTGATTTTTTTTTTTTTCCCCTCTTCATTTCCCACAGAAACGTTCCAGAGGTCAAGTGCTATTCGACAAAGTGTGTGAGCATCTGAACCTTTTGGAAAAAGACTACTTTGGGCTAACGTACAGAGACGCAGAAAACCAAAAGGTATCATACAAAATGGTGATTTTCCTTTGGCATGTGGATATCAGAGCTCTCCTGAGGCACCCCCAGACAGTTGCAAACAGTACAGAAGCTGTTTTGTCTTCTCATCTAGTTGTATATGTGTGTACCTTGAGTTACTTCTTTTATAACTCCTAAAGCATCCCCTGGGTTTCCTTGGCTTCTGTCTGTGTGAGCATGAAAGAATTTAATCATACACCTCATTCTCCTTCTAGTTTGATTTGTTACATTACTGTCATCGATGAGAGTCGGTTCTGTGTTCCTATATACTGCTAAGAATATAATATTAATATGTGGCTTATTTAATAATACTAGCTTGTGGTACAGATAGGCAGGAGTACTTTCATTTCCAAGAAATCTTGACTTCCAGTCTTGACCTAGCTTAACATAGCATTGTTCATTTGCCTAAATGCATAAGCAATTGACAGCAATAGTGAATCCCATTCTGTATTTCTACAGCTCATGTTTAGCATTAAATGAGCTGTGTATTAACAGTATCAACAGAGTGCAGGGTGGTCTAACACTCATGTAATATGTGGATTATTGTGGGCATGTTGTGATGAAAGGGAGAGTATCAAAGAATACTTCAAGTGCTGCATGGTGGGTTTTTTTTTGTTTTTTTTTTTTTGTTTGTTTGTTTGTTTTTGGTTTTTTGGACATTTTATGATAAATATTTTTAAAGAATTCAGTAACAAAACTTCTTAACAAAGATCACCAGGTTAAGTTACTTTGTGCTTTGTATGGTCTCAAAGGTCTTCCCTGATAAGGCTGGAGTTATTACTGCCTCTTTAGTTCCTTATGTCAGGTGAGAACAACAGCTTTGTTTTCTGGGCTTCCCTTTGTTTCAGCTATATATGATGCATAAGAAATGAGTGGGTTCTTTTTCTTCCCCTTTCTTACTGATTTCTAAATATGAGGATTCTGTTCCTGTTTTGGAAAGTCACTTAAGCAGATGCTTAAGCAATCCGTGCTAGTCCAAGATAATACTTAACCATATGCTTAGTTTTGCGTTGTAGTAAAAGTTAAACAAATGTCTAAGTACATTTCCAGAGAGGAATGCTTTCCTGTACTGGAAAGAAAAAAAAAAATCATTCATTTTAAACAGGTAGCTTAGAAATGTAGATCATCACTTACTTTAGAGAGCTAACCAGCTGAAAATGGAGTGAATCCCACATTTATAGATCAGTAACATGCACATTTCTAGTGTCAAAGTACTTAGCAATCTCATCTCCATCCTTTGCCAGACACCTTCCAGCCAGAAAATATGTGCGCACATCATGTGTCACATTTGAATATAGAAATCTTAATGCACATTTAATTTCTTGGTGCATAGTGTGCTTTTACAGAAAGCTTAGAAATAGATGGAACTCCTCAGGCTCATGTCTTGTACCACTAAATGCATTTGGACAGCTGCAACCTGGTTGTTTTTCTTGGGTGTAAGGGTTGTTGTGTTCTGCCTGTTTGATATTTCTGTAATATTTTTTCTATGATACATCTGTTTTTCTTTTCTTTGGACAAACTAGAACTTTCCTCAGGGAGGTGGACTTTTTGTTCTGGGTTTTGCAAGGCATATTAAATATTAATTCCATTAGAAGATGAGACAGAGCTGTGGGGTCCTTATCTTCCCATATCACAGAGGCAGGGCAGGGGGCTCTATGAGTTGCCAGCTATGGCCATGGTGGCTGCAATAAAGGACCTCAAATTCCTGCTTGCCTCTGGAGGAATTTGGTTTTAGTCAGCAGTGCTCCTTGGCAACCAGGGAATAGTAGCAAATCGCAGAGGTAATCCCTCAGTTCCTCAGTAAGGCTTTGTGTGATCTCCTTACAAAGCCTCCAGGTTTGGGGCAACATGGATGAGGGCAGCCCTGGCAGCAACTCTGCTCCTGGAGTTGCCCTCATGTTTACAGGGAGTTTCAAATGGGGCAGTGTCTTATGGCACACTTGCACATCTTCTATGAAGATCGGTAGCAATCCGCATTCTGAAAGTTACCATTACCCCTGTCCACTGTTGCTCCAGAGAGAAGAAGGTAGGCATGCAGATTTTCTAGCTTTGTCTTATAGCACTGTTTTAAAAATGATGTTGATTGTGTTTTCTAACTCAAACTGAAGAAAGGAAACATTTTCTTTTCAGAATTGGTTGGACCCTGCCAAGGAAATCAAAAAGCAGATTCGAAGTAAGTTTGTTATCATTGTATTTTTCTTTCAGTGGTTCTGGAAAACTTTTCCTTTTGGTATACCCAGACCCCCAAAATTGAGAACACATAAGCTTCTTTGTCTCCAAACTGTTTTTATCTTTTCCACTGCTAGCACTAGACACAGCCTTAGTTTCCCAGCCAGTGTGGCCTCTGTACATATGGAAAGCTGCCTCACAGATACCTGAGGGTTGGAGAGCCTGTTCCCTTGTTGGCCTCCATCATGCAAAGGGTCTGGCTGGTGCCCCTGGTGTGGTGTCCCATGGCTTGGTGTCCCAAGCTGGAAGATCTTGGTGGCAGGTGAGCTGCAGAGCTGTAGCATCATACATTCCATTGTGGTTGCAACCCCCCCAAAAACATCCATAGGAGAGGTGTCCTGACACTGCGAGGCACAGGGGCCTGCCTCACTGCACCTTCCTGTGGGAAGAAAGCTTCTCACCTCAACCCTCTGCCCACCAGAACTGAGGGGCAGGTGTGCCACAGACCCCTCATCCCCACCTACATGCAGAATCACGGAATCAGAATTGAGTTGGAAGGGACTATCTAAGGCCATCAATTTCAGATCGCCTGCAGTAAGCAGGAAGACACCTACTAGAGCTAGATCAGGTTGCTTAGAGCTTCATCAGCCTGACCTTGAGTGTCTCTAAGGACGAGACATCCACCACCTCTCTAGGCAACCTGTTCCAGTGCCTCGCTACCCTTACTGTAAAAAACTTCTTCCTTATTCAGTTCAGTCTGAATCTCCCCTCTTTTAGTCTGAAAGTATTTCACCTTGTCCTTTCACAACCAACCCTACTTAATGAGTCTGTTCCTTCTTTCTTATAGCCCCCCTTTAGATACTGAAAGGACGCTATCGGGTTTCCCTGCAGCCTTCTCTTCTCCAGTCTGAAAAGCTCCAGCTCTTTCAGCCTGTCATATACATATACATATATATATATACACACACACACGTATACTATACTTACATATATGTATATACGTTACTTATTTGTGCTACTGATGTTTATATCAAATCCAGACACACTGTTAGTACGTGGGTACTGAATTACTATTCTGATGCAAAGATAACACTCTAAAATACCTTCCCTTCCTGCATTTCAAAAGCTTGAACTTTGCTTCTGAAATGAATGTTCAATTCACAGAGAACCAGTCAATTTTCTGCTTCACGTGAATATTTTTAAAAGTCCTGTTGTTAAATTTAGCTGTCTGCTACATTAGAAATTCAAAAAAGTATTGAAGGAAAACTGTGTCAGGGCTGCCAGGCTCGAAACTTGACCTGCCTTTTTTTCACCCTCACTTTTTCAAATTGATGAAATGTTTGTGTGTGTTACTTTTTTTCATTGGAAAACCTGAGTATTTTTTGTAATTGCCCATTTAGTAAATAACCTAGTACCTGTGCTTTTATAAGCAAACCCATCTGATGGTTCACATATCTTGGATCAGGCCTGGCAAATGAGTCAGTCCCCTCTCTGGGATTCAAAGGGTTGAATCCTCTGCTGCTGTAAGCAGCTGCACCTTTCCACTAGTGTTATTTTCATTATAAGTAAATGATCAGCAAAGAAGAGCCATGAAAATCTGTGCTCCATTATATGCTTTTTCTTAGTCCGTGAGGAAGATGCTGGAGACCTTGTTGAGTCAAGTTATGCTGATTGTCAGTGCAAGGAAAGCAGCTCGGCTTCAAACTGCTGATGTGAAATGCATTAAATATGTGCCCAGGCTGTGAGTTGGACAGTGAAAGGTTGTGACAGTGAGAGATTAACCAGGGCAGAATAATGTAGAGCTGGATGTGGAATGGGGACAGTTGTATTTGCAGGAGAAGACAGTGATAATTTACTTGCTCTGAGAATTCACCATAGAAGTTGGGAACAGGAGAAGTGTGGAAAAGTAGGATTCTTGTGCACAACACATCATAAATGGCACAGAACTACATGTGTGCTGTATAGCACTCAGGTACTCATGATTCTACTGCAAACAATGGCAATTTCTTTCCAGCACCTGAGAAACAAGGCTGTCACTATATCTATGGCCTCTGGTTGTGCCCCATTGGTTTTAACTTACTGCATATTATTTAAGGCCCTGTAACTGAGGGGAGAATGCTTCTCACTTCTTATCTTAATCAGCCATGTTTTGCATGGGGTGAGATTTCCTTGAGATCTCTACGTAAAATATCTCCAAATGCCCAATCAGGAAGATCTTGCAGTATTTCCAGTCAGGCATTCACTCTGTCCAGCATATAACTTTTCTATACCAGATATACTTTGAAAACTCATGTTCATTACCAGGTGCCTGGACACAAGGTGCCTCTGGATTAAAGATTGAAGGTTCATCAGGAGTCCTGTTTTTCACAACGTGCACAAGCATTTTCTTATTACACAGCCAGTACAGAACTTTCTGAGATAGACATTTACTTAGTTCTAGTTAATCTGTAATTAGATTATTTTCTCCAATAATTTCTGAAATATTCAATCTATTTCAGGAAATTTAAGTGTCGTTACTTCATCTTTGGTTTCTCGAGTGCAGAAATACTTATGTACATAACTTATGTGCGTATGCAATGCATATTCCACAATGAAGGCCTCAGTGAAAAAAAATGAGATATCACCATGGTGCTTATTAGCATTTTCTGGTTTGGGATTTAGTTGCTGCTTTTCATTTGCTTTAGAGACAAGAATTAGTATAACCTCTCTCTTGTTAAAAAATAGTGTTGATATTTACATTGCAGTATTTAACACTTTTTTTTTTTTTTTTTTCCCCCAGTCTTTATATTCTTATGAACAACATCTAAAGCTAAATCTCCAAAACACTTTTTGCTAAATAGTTGCACTGATGCAAGCCACTATCCCACAGGTCACCTAAACTGACTTGAAATTACTAAGTGGGAATTCCCTCACTCTGTGCTTAAGGCCACTTTCCAGCTACAGTCTCTGCATTTGTTCTTGCAGCATTCTATCACTCAACAGTGGCTGCCATTCTGCTGCTCATTTGAAACCTACTTTGCCATGTTTCCAGGGCCTGTGTGGGAATTATTGCTTTTAGAGTTAGCATAAGCTGTGTTTTCAGATGGTTAATTCCAGTAAATATTTTTGGTTTTTTTTTTTCAGACCGAATTTTTGTAAGTATTAGCAGTGAATTGCTACTCCCTTAGGGTCCTCGCCTCAGTGAAAATCTCACTAAAATAAGAAAAGAGCTGTAAGATCTGATCTAATACCATAATTGTGAAAGGGAAAATTAGTATCTCCAGAATGGTACGCAAGAAAAAGATACTACATCCTATTCTTATTAATTTTTTGACTGGATTATTTTTAAGTTTGCTGGTAATCAAATAGCATGAACATCTCCATTTGCACTCCCAGTGCGCTTTCCGTAAACTTGTGTTCTTTTCCAGGTGGTGCTTGGCAGTTTGCATTTAATGTGAAATTCTACCCTCCAGATCCTGCCCAGCTATCTGAAGATATTACCAGGTGTTTAAAATATTAAATACATTTCTAGAAGGGCCTTAAAAAGCTGTTCTTGAGAGCACTTATTCTCTAATTATCCAAGAAAGGGGATGTTTTATATTCCCACTGACTTGCTTTCTCTTATGAGCTTATGGAAAATATGTGATGCTTTGACAGAAAGGACACTGTGAATACTGTTTGGTTCTCTGAGCTCAGACAACATTTTTCATTTATTTATTTACAATCTAACACCACAATCAAGCTTTTCCCATATATGTGTTCTGGAGAATTTATTTGGATTTTTCACAGAGATTCCTAATGTTTAGTTTTGCCAATGGTAACAAGATTTTATTGTTAGCAAAATCATAACTATGAAAGAGGAGAACAAGCATGATTGTAAATTTTGTGTACTGTTTGGCTAGGTGTGTGGTTGGTGTGCATGGTATGATGAATGCGGTGATAATGAGCTCTGTTGAAGGGAAGGATTGCTTTTATCCTTCTTTACCCTTATCCTGCTTTTATTGCTTTTAATTAGGTTCAAGGTACACAAACTGTATCTTTGGTAAAAATATTTGAAACGTTTTCTTATTCCTCCCATTTGGTGCAAATCCGTTTTCTGTACCAGCTCCATGTTGGGGTAAGCTGTGTTGGCTAAGACATCAAAAATCATACCTCACCTCCAAGCAAGGGTCAGTTGGCATTAGGCTGGCAGCAAAGCTCTTGGAGGGGTCAGGATTTCTTTCTTGCCCTTAAACCTCCCAAGGTAACTACGTGTCTTAACTGCAAAGCCAACGCTCTTCAGTTTAGCCTGGTTTCTTCTAATCAGTGCTTACCTCTGTGCTTTTAACATCATTTACTGTTTAAATGTATTTTTGAGAAAGCTTCTCAGTTTACTAAAGAAACATCTTTTCTTGAATGCCTTAGAGTTTGGCTGCCCCTTAGGGAATGTTATTTTATGTTTCTCCTTAAAGAAAAGAGTTATCAGTTAGCTGTATCTTAGTGACATGTTATGTAAACCTACGGATAATTCTCCTGAGCCACCAAACAAAATGACAACATATTTTATCAAGCAATCTCCATGCAGCTTTATAATGATTAATTAAGCTTTGCTACCCACAAGTTAGGCAAAGGATATTTTTAATTCTTAATTCTTGCTAATGCAAGAAGCTTTGGGCTTGGGCATTTCCGCCTCTCAGAAGTGGCTCCTTTGCTGGTGGGGCTGGAGGAGCTGTGTGTGAGCAGAGGCGGTGCTCCTTTGCAGGTACTACCTCTGCTTGCAGCTGAGAGATGACATCGTGTCTGGCCGGCTGCCCTGCTCCTTTGTCACCCTCGCCCTGCTGGGCTCCTACACTGTGCAGTCTGAGCTTGGTGACTATGACCCTGATGAGTACGGCAGTGACTACGTCAGCGAGTTTCGCTTTGCACCGAATCACACTAAAGAGCTGGAAGATAAGGTGATTGAGCTGCACAAGAGCCACAGGTAGGTGGGTGGAGACTGTAGGTGTTGCATTTCAATTCATATTCTGTTTCTTTAATATCACTGCTCAAATTGGTTGTTTTTCTTCAGGGGAATGACACCTGCTGAGGCTGAGATGCATTTTCTGGAGAATGCCAAAAAGTTATCAATGTATGGAGTAGATCTCCATCATGCCAAGGTATGGACTGCAGTTCTTCTTGCTGGGAACCCACAATGGTCATCTTTCTCATGTACCTGAATTTGCATGGACTCTGATTTATTCTTTCTTGCTGTTCTGAGACAGGCAGATTGGGGGATAAATCACTAGTCAATGTGAGGAAAGGTGACTCCTGGGATAAGCATCTTGTAACTGGAACGTGATTCAGCCTATAGGCTATATGATGTTTCACATCAACACTCTGTGCAGAATAAACAGCCAAACCCTTTGGGAAAAAAATGGGCACAGTAATCAGAAAGGATATTAGAAGCTATCTGGAGAGTGATCAATTGTCATTTCCTTCAGCTACGTTTTGCAATTTAATAAGGCCAAGTATGGCATCTTAGCTAAATAAACAGATCATTTCCAACATGCAAAGAACTCTGAAGCAGTCATTCAGCTGTGCTGAAGACCTAATCAGATTGATAGTCTCAGGGAAGCAGCAGCTGATCTCTCTTCTGAATTGCGGTCGTTTCAGTTGACTAGAAGGGCAGTAATTTTGCTGGAAACATTCTCCCACAATGAGGAGATTTCCCTAATGATCAGCAGGTTAAGGTAAAAATCAAAAATGGTCATTTCTCTTGTGGCTTGGGACAGTCACCTGCCAGCTTTGTATCTGGGGCTTTTCTTTTTTTGCCCAAATAAGCAATTACTTCACCCTCCATTCTTCAACTCTTCTTCACTTATCAAAGTAAGGTTAATGGATGTTAACATCTCTGAGGTTAGCAAGCATCCTTGGCAAATGAGTACCAAACAAAGACTCCTGAACTGTGCAGAGCATTTTCTGTAAAGGTCGAATTGCTGTGAGCCTGTTTTTATGCTGCAACATATCCTTTCAAGAACTGAGATAAATTTGCAGTTTGGATCTTGAAAGGGCCTGCAGCCATTTCCCTGGGGCGTTTCATAGGAATTGTGCATGTGTGTTACAAAATTCAAAGCAACATTTTGTGTTCTGTTAATTACCACTACTGAAAATGAAAAATCTGGGTATGGCTCAGTGGGCAGCACTTGACCAGGAGGCATGCTGCTGCTCTTCCTGTTTCTTGCAGACAGGCACAGAATCTTGAGGCACTTTTGGAGCAGAGATAGAAATGGATTGGTGAATGTCACTCAGTAGCTTTTTTTCAACATCCTTTGTCCAACACAAAGATCTGCAGAACAGCAACTAAGTGAGATCCTGTTCTCAATACGTTACGAGCTTCATTACTAAAATTTGACATACCATGGCATTAAGGGATGAGTGTTTTTCTTTTTAAATACTGGATAAAGGCCATGAAATTTAAGTTAGGATGTCCTGAGATAACCTTTCTTTTCTCCTCCTTACAAAGTATCAGTGTCCATTTTCACTTTTCTGTTCTTTATCTTGAAAGACTCAGAGAAAAGTAAGTTGGTAGGCAAGCCAATGTCTCTCTGAAATAATTTTCTTAATATCAAAAGCTGCATTGCTCACTGAATTGGGTATGTCTGTGGATTAAGAAACCCAGTAGCAATCTCAAAAACGGAGCTAAAAATGGGAAAATTAGAATCGGCATGAGAAGTAGCATTTAGTTTTAATTAGGCTTGCTGATGTGATGGGATGGTATCAGGCTGCTGGACAAGTGTCTCCGTGGGTGCCCTTTTGAAGTCATGCAGTGGCAGATGTCTCAGTGTCAGTGTCAATTCATTAAGGCTGTGCAGGTATCTGAGGTATTCAACAGATGCTGGGCTTGCCAACTGCTGTTAGAGCTAGCTCTCAATTAGCCAGCACAGGGCTACAATTAAAATTGTGTTCAGATAGACAGATTTGTCCTCTGGGCTGTTAGCATTCTGACAAAACCTCCCATTCGTATGTAGAGCTGCAGGTATGTGCAGCTCAGTGTCTCCTGATGTTACAGCAAAGAGTGTTGTGTCCTATGGCTCACAAAAAAAAAAAAAAAAAAAAAAAAACCAAACAATTCCACCAGGTTTTGATTTGCACCAATAATATCACACTGAGAAGCAGCTTTGGATACCTACAAACAAAAAAAGCTTTGAATGCATTGAGATCTGCTGTAAAGGTGGAAAGGAAGAAAGAAAGCATTTCTCAATAAGGTTTTGGGCAAGTATAGCAGAAATAGCAGCCCTTCTATCTGCAGTTATATATCTTATGTAGGCATGTGAGCATAAAGGGATCATTCCAGGCAATGTGATTACAAGCAATAAGACTTCTTTTTTTTTTTCAAATGTATTTGCTGTACTTAGAGCTTCCTCTTAGCCTAGGAAATTGGCAAACTGAACTCCAGCAAAAAGACCACTTTTTATTTTTTTTTCTCTAGTGGCCCACCATGACCACATATACTGAAAAGATACCTTTGTGGTGTGACACCATCTTTGTTGGAGCACAACATTCTTAACTGATGTGTTTTTTAACACTGAAGTGACCTTGTGGTCCTAATTCTGTGTTACATATCTGATTTTAAAACATCTTTTTTTTTTTTTTTTTTTTTTTTTACTTCAAGCCGTGCTGTTGCTTTCTTTTATCTAACCACGTATGCCTTTGTGCTCGTCTTAAACATAATTAGACTTCTATTGGGTGGGAAAACTAGTAGCAAATTAATAATTCATTTCTTGATTATCACAGAGTGACATCTTCATAGCTGCTGTTGTTAAACTTGTAACTTTAAGTTATTTTAAAATAATTACCAAAGGACTCTATTCTTTAAGACAACCATTTGTTTTCTCCAACACTGTTAATGCTTAGCTAAATAAAAAATAAAATTATACAGGCTAGTGGTGATAGTAAACACTGAAGATTGGCTTAGGCTATTTGAAAGCTTCTAAAGGAAAGCAAAGAATATAGTTCTTACTTAAAATACACATCTATTTAGGTATATTCTAATAAGATTTTGGCCAAAGCTTTTATGATGCTAACATGCCTGACCTACACTTGCTTCCCTGTCAAAATGAGTTGTAAAACTCCCAGATTTAAAATAATCTTTCTGATCTAAATGGCCAACTTTATGCCAACTGGTTATTTTACATACAACAGCAGAGAAGTAAGGAAGTAAAAATACTGAACATAGGCAGAACAGCATTAAAGAAGCTAGCAAATCAGCCAAAACCAAGAGGAAAAAAAAATACAGGAGAAAAATTGGTCTGATCAGAGCGTTTACTTGTGGAGTGTGGGAGATGCTGGGACTGGTAAATGTGTATGCAGTCCTACTTATTTTCAATCTTGCATTTACCCTAATGACACTTAAGTAATTAAAGTGTGCAATATGGTTAATATCATTATTTTAATACCATATACAATGTTACTCCCTCCTTTTGTAGTTTTTCTAAAAGATAACTTCCGAAACACGGACGTTCTCTCATTCTGCCCAGCCTTAATGTTCCTTGCCTGAATGCAAGAAATTGTTGATGAGTAGGGTAGCACTCAGAAATAACATTGCTGTAGCTGGTGCATTAAGAACAGATAGCTCAGGTAGAAACACAGTGTATGAGTGTCTGTATTGGGATTTAAAGAGAGAGTTGTTCAACGGTATATGTTGCCTGTTGTTCCAGGATTCTGAAGGAGTGGAAATCATGTTAGGAGTTTGCGCAAGTGGCCTCTTAATATACCGAGACCGACTCAGAATAAACAGATTTGCCTGGCCAAAGGTTCTGAAAATTTCATACAAAAGGAACAACTTCTACATCAAAATCCGACCAGGGGAGGTAAGGAGATCTTGACACTCCTCAGTGAACAAATCTTTTCAAAAAAAATTGTGTTCTCATTGATTTGTTGATTTGTTGTGTCTTTAACATTCCCCTTCATTTATATCTTTTAATTTGTGGTGATTTTCTTAGGAAAGATTAGGTAAATACTTTATTTAAAATACAGGTAAAATCTTCTGTATTTTTCTGTTTACAACCCTGAACTCACATAAACAGCAAATATATATATACTTATATATATAAAAAAATGCTGCTTGCTTGCAAAGAGCTCATTCATACTATGAATACTTTGGAAATTTAAGTAACATTTTGCTTATTCATGGAGTACTCATCATCCATCATCGTGTTGTGTATTGAGTTAGTGTCTGTTCATATTACTCACTAAGACATAGATAGGTCATACCAAATTTTATAACCATATCATATTGTGCATTTGGAGCTCGAGTCGAAATCCAGAGACTGATAAAAACGAGGCCAACATCCATCATTCAGCATTTTGCTGGCTACATGCTTTTGCCCTTCCAGCCCCATAGAAGCTCACGTTCTGACCCGGGATGCAGTGTGAAATCTCGTATCGTGAGTGCCCTCTCGTGGCTCAGCCTGATGCATAGCAAATACACCGACAGTAACGCGTTGGTTTACCTCCTGTTAAGCAGGCGCTAACACAGAAATAGGATGATAGATCATAGCAAAAATCCCAGGAAGAGTTCAAGATCATCATTAACAAAACAGTGTCTCAATTTCAACTGCTGGTACAGTAATCAATTTGCAACAGATTAAGAAAAAAAATATATCCATTTTAGAGGTTGGAGCTATACAGCAGGACAGAAGTCATTTGATTGAAGACTGGCATTTCTCCCTTAATGAAATATTGCAGTGGGAATCCTGAGCCAACTACTGGCTTCATAAGTGACCTGGGAAATCTGCTGTGGCCATCACTGTAACTAGGACTTGAGCAGTTGCAGAGTTGTTATCCAAAATCCACAGTCCTACATCTTCTGTCTCACAACAGACACAGTTTTAACAACCAACCTCACATCCTGAGTTTAATTTAAAAGAAAAAAAAAGAAGAGCCACTGATGTTCTCAGTTCTGCACTCAGGCTCTCCTTTTGAGCTCTGCTGGTGTTGGCATGGTGCTTTCTGTGACCTGGTCATAGTTCCACAAAATGATCAGTGCAGTCCATTTCAGATTACATTTGATGATAATGTGAGTCACCATCCCGTGTGTTGTTTCAATCATCTTCATCGTTTCTGCTGTTTCCTGACGTGTTTCTCTCTTGTCAGTTCCCCATAGGGATCCAGGCTTCCTTACAAGTGCCCTTCTACTTTTCTTTCCCTGATCACAGCAACGCTGTTTCACCTACTCAGCTATCTGCATGTAGTCATACAGCAGTTGCAGCTGTCACAGCTTTTGCACCTGTAATATAAATCTGCAGCACAATCTAGAGAGGTCACTTGGTGTCCCCAGCTAACTCTTTCAATTACCTGCTTTTCTTCTCATCTGTCCCAGGATACAAATTAGCTAAAAACACTGTGACTTACTAACTCTAGTTCTTTCACTCTAATTCTCCTTAATACAAGGCTGCATGAGACCAAATCAGTCCCAGGAGACTATTGCTCCCCTTCAGGCTGTTATCAGGCTTCCCACTGTTCTCTAAACTGTTGAATTTAAAACAACAGGGTTAAGACATTCACATGTTGTTTGTTTCTCTCAGAAATTTCCCAAACCTTTACTGATCATTTTGTTAGTATAGTGCATAAAGCATCAGTGTCGCCATCAAAAATGTTTTGCTCGTTATCTCGCTTTTCCCCATAGAGCAATCTCCAAAGGCTGCCTTTGGTTACCACTCCCAGTTTCCTTCTGAGACTGAGTCTGTTGGATGTATGTATACATATGATGATATACATCAGCATATACTATATCTTTTCACTTAGATTGTATACATAGGAAGTTAAGATGAACTTATGTACCTGTGCACACTGCCTAACTATAGTTGCACTGCATCAAAAATGTACTTTTTCTTTTTCCTACCCAGTTTGAGCAGTTTGAAAGCACTATTGGGTTTAAGTTGCCAAATCATCGTGCTGCAAAGCGCTTATGGAAAGTGTGTGTTGAGCACCATACATTTTTCAGGTATGTGGATGTCATTTCCTAAAGGTGTGCCACAAGATCCAGTGGAAAATTGTCAGCAGAGACTAAGGCCTCCAAATCAAATTGTCTTTTTGATCAAGAAGTGGCTCTGAGCACTCCATAAAAGTACTAAATGTTTAAAATCACCATATGGTTCTTACCTTGCTTTATCTCTGCATGATAACATCAGTCACTATAATAAAAAAGCCTAAGGACTCTTCTGCACATATATTTCTCTGTCTAGATAGAATAATGTATATGGAAAGTCACTGGGAAATATGAATGAGAGTGAAAACAAGGCAAAAAAAAAAAAAAAAAAAAAAAAAAAAAGTTAATTACAGATGAAAACACAGACAGTAACTTGTATTGTATTTTTTGGTCACCTATAGTACCCAGCCCATAGATGCCAGTTTTACATTACTGAGGAATTTTGCAACTATGCATATATAGCTACTTTTTTGATATCTAAGAAGACCTGAAAATAAGTATTCAGTACTTAAAATTCCCTCTCAAGTCAAGTGAAGAATTTCTCTGCTTTTCCAAAATTATTGGTTCAAGCTGTCTGCACGTTTTTATAAAACTTCATCTTAGTATCACAGGATCTAAAAAGAAATTGTACATTTTTTGAATGTTTTCTGCTTTTTAATAGGAAGTTGATTTTTAAAGCATAAACTCCATAGCAGGAGGATGGATTCTTCAGCAAACTCCGTAGCCAAAACACAGAGGGCGGGAAGGCTCTAACCTGAAAAATTTTACATCCCTGTTAACAAATTTGGCCCTAGATTCTTAGCACTTTAGTTAAGAGATCTTACATTATATGTGAGGCATTGTTTGATCCCTTTTTCTGGCATAGACATGTGAGATGCAGGTCCCAGTGGTGTTCTTCCTTCTGCAAAAGTAGTAGGCTGCTCTGTGGAGTATGTGGAATAATCCCTGTGTGCTCGGTGTGTTTTAGGCTCCTTCTACCTGAAGCACCTCCAAAGAAGTTCCTCACACTGGGCTCCAAGTTTCGTTACAGTGGTAGGACACAGGCTCAGACGAGAAGAGCCAGTGCGCTCATAGACCGGCCCGCACCTTACTTTGAGCGGTCTTCTAGTAAACGTTACACCATGTCCCGCAGCTTGGATGGGGGTAAGGTCCTCTTCATTGACTCGGTCAGAAGTTACACTCGTGATGGTCACTGCTTTAAATTTGATGTAAACCTCTTGTAATTTCATACCTCCTGAGATTCTGCTGAGAGAAGAATGTAAGTACCTGTACATTCGCTACGTACCTGTGATGGAGGTTGTATCACTAATGGCCTGCTTGTGTGGGAGGAGGCATGACTTATAGCTGTCTTCATAACTGGACTTGGAAATTAGGTCCATAAAATTTTGCAGTGGGAATGTTCACCTGGGCAGTAGAGGGTAAATCCCTCACATGACGGTCCTACAAAGCTTGCTGACTTTCAATAGGGCATCTTCTCTGTTGTCCTGGAGCCTTTTATGAAATGACTGCTTAAGATGGTTTCTCAGGAGCCACCTCCCACTTGAGAAATCAGTGAGCCCCAAAGAGACGAGCAGGAAACCAAGTCCTTGCTTCATGACTTCTGCTCCCTTTCAGCACAGAGAAAAGAGATCTGACACCAGGACCTGACAGTATTATAGGGAATGCTGCCTGTGGGTTGCCACAAACAAGCTGTAGATAAAGAATGTCCTAAATTTACTGCTGCTGCAGCTACAAGGTGTTTGCCTGCAGGGTGTTTTGGGACTCTGCTCTTCATGGGCCCCACTCCTTGGCCTCATCCCTGCATCCTTTCTTGCTTGGGAAAAGAACGAAGTACCAGATCTGCCATACAGGGCTTTCCCACTTGAGCAAGTCTGACTTCAAGCTTTGTCAGGATTTACAAGAGTAATTGCTTGGGTTTTGATAAATTTGGCCTTTATTTTTTTTTCATATGCAGTTTTTCAATTAAGTATATAGTTAAATTCACATATTGTTTTCCTTCATACAGTAATAACAAGCATCTTAGTTTGATGAGCCCTTTTTACACACATCACTTTTGAGCATGTAAGATGGAGAATAACATAGGCACGTTAATAGCAGGTCCCTCTTCTCCTCACTTTCTCTGTGGCTTGTGGAATCAAGGTTTGCTGCTCCTCTAAGTTAGGCCAGCGCGTGATGCAGACTCTCAGCTACTTCATCAGCTGTTATTGTCAGCTACTGAGTAAAAATAAGCTGCAATTTATTTTTGTAGAAAAAAAAATATTGAGACTGAATTTAGAATCACTATGGTTTAAAAAAAAAAAAAAAAAAAAAAAAAAAAAGAAAAATCACCAGCCAAATATTACCAATGAGTTTCAATGAATATAGTTGATGGTGGAGGGGGGGAGGGGAAGGAAAGAAGCATTGATTTAAAAGTACTAGTGACAAGCCTACTTTTCTCCCCCCTAAAGGTTCTGCTTGTCATTAATAATTTTGGAATCTTCTAATTCTGATGTGCTTCTTGCTTGTTACCAAGCAACTGGTGACCTGATTGCTGTGCATGTGTCTCAAAGCAGAAATTACCCTTCTGCACTATTTTGTTTGTAGCATCTAAACAAGATGTCTCCCTTTACTTGTTTTGCTTTCTCCCACCTCCTAAGCTCTTTCCCAAGAGACAAAATATCTGAAAGCTTTCCCTGAGCATTTGTTCAACTCTGCAAGATTTTTATTATGGTAATTTGCCTAAGTGCAAATGGGGAAAAGATTTTTTTTTTTTTTTTTTTTTTTTTTTAAATTAATGCTTATGGTTTGTTCGCTGATCTTTTTACTGTAACAAAAACATGCCAGTAATGTTCAGCATCATGATTAATTACACTGTGATCCTGGCCCTGTGGTTTGCTACACATGCAAGTAACTTTACACGTTTGATTAGTCCCGGCGAATCAGTAATTAATTGCAGAGCAGAGAGCAGGATCTGGCGTTTGTGTTACATTAGTGTTTGTATTACATTCTATCTGTATATTTACTCTCTATTTTGAAATCCTTAATATATGATTAAGTACGATGAATTATCAAAGCATTTACATCCTAGAAAATTCTGGTTTTATCCATTGAATTGAATGCCATGACTTTCCAGAATTTTTTAGGATGAGTTCACTTAACCGACAGAATTTAATACTTGATAATTGAAAGATCAGATTTCGTGTCTCTCAGATACTTCATGTGTGTTACATCAATATTGTCATCTCCTGCAGTGCAGTGAATTGTTTACCCTGCATTTGATCTGTACTGCTCTATTCTGACAGATTAAAAAAAAAAAAAAAATCTCTTCCATCCCCATGGCTGATGTTTTCCCATATGTTTTCAGCCTGATATATATAGCAATGCATTATTTTTTTCTGATTGCTACTCTGACTAGAGTAGCAATGGCTTGCTAACATTTAACAACTATGTAATGCACACATTAGCTGCAGTAATGTGTATACATGCATCCATAATATATGTTTATGCATATAAAAGCTAAGGGCTTTATTTCAAGTAAGCAGTTTATTTAAATGTATGCACAGGCTTCTGATTTTTTGACACGAGATGTAGCTTTGTTCTCAGCAGTATCTGGATGTTTTACTAACCCAGCTTTTTAATTTTATGCAGCTTCTCAGCAAAAGCTATTTCAGACTTTCCCTCTTTAAATATTTGCTTTTAGCATCAGTGAATGAAAACCATGAAATGTACATGAAGGATTCTGTGTCTGCTGCAGAGGTTGGTACTGGCCAGTACGCCACAACAAAGGGCATCTCTCAGACCAATTTGATAACCACTGTGACTCCGGAGAAAAAGGCAGAAGAAGAGAAAGATGATGAAGAGGGCAAAAAGAAAAGAGCAGAGGAAGTCACCCCCATCTCGGCAGTACGCCATGACACAAAGGTAGAGTTCTTAGGGGTTTTTTTGTTAAACTGATCTGCTTGAAGAGTGCTCAGACCAGCACAGAATTGTTAGGAAGGGAGAAGATGCTTCCTGCATTTAGAGGAACATAGAATATACACAATACACCTAAATGTTTTGAATCAATATTTGTATAGTCCTTTTGCATTTCATATGATTTAAAAGCCAATTCTTGCATCTGGGTGTATATTTTGTGAAGCAAATCCATTTAACAGTGGATCAAAAAATAGCCTAGAAGTGCATATTTTGCTCTTTTGGTCTTCAGTTGTATTTTGACTTTAGTGTGGTTATCACATATTTTTACTTTTTGTCAGGGCAACAAAGTAATTCTGTGTCCTTATACATAGCTCTGTTCTTTAACCCGTTGTACTTTTCTCATTCCTTTCCCATAGCAATGTATTTGCCTGTATATATTTCAGTGAATTTTTTTCCTACTATCTTTCGGCTATTAGCATACTATTATAAGCTGATTATCTGGCTTACAAAAGCATTTACTTAATTCTAAAGTTTTCACCAAAGAAAATTGTTTTTTTTTGATGATTCTCTCTCTACTCAATTGCTAAATTTGGCTTGTCTGTCACCAAGCTCAATCCCACTACCACTGCATATAAGTAACACGCACAGCTGCATTTACTGAGATACTAAGAAGGGGTAAATCAGAGAGACGGAGAAGATGCTGAATTTCTAAAACTGATAGTGAGGATAAATGAGGTAGAATAATAAAAGACAGTGTAGAATGTCTTTTTTCTCATACTTTGAGGAGAAAAAAAACAATACAGAGTATTGAATATAGGATATCATTCAAAAAGTTTGCTAAGAGACACATTTACTAAGCAACATTTGCGCTCTGCATTTGCGACGAAGAAACTTCATACCTTTATACGTACAAAGCTGATCAGGAATGCCACTCTGAGAGCCTGAACTTCGAGCCTTATCACATAATGAGGTACATAGCAAAAGGTACAGGTCCTCAAGTAAAGAGCTGCACTTAAGGTACAAAAATCAGAAATGAACTGAATTACTGAAACTGCAGATGAGAAAAGATTTTCTTTAATTGTAGAACTAAAAAGAGAATCTCTGTAGAATTTAACTAGAGTCTCTTTGCAACTCCATTAGTTTCTGCATGGAGAAACATGGATGAAAATCATATATGCAGAGAATATCCAGTTGAAACTAATTCTGTTCTGAGAGTTAATTTAGGTCAGTGGAGAGGTTCAGCTGTATTTCAAAGATCACGTGTTCCTTGGAGATGGCTGGAAATAGTCAGAGCTATTTTTAGGAAAACATCTTGATAATTCTTAAACACACACAAATGAATGACTTCTAATCCCCAGGAGGTGGGTTCTGTTTAAACCACCTGTTAACAGTTTCAGACCTGTAATTATATAGTGATCTTAGTCCTGCTTCACATTGGACCTGCCAACAGTTTGTCATTCATTATGAAGAGAACAGTCTCAAGAAACACGGGACATGATTGAAATCATATTCCTGTTCAAGGACACATACATTGATGCACACTTTTCCTACTAGGATGTTTTTTCTTTGCTTTATCCATACTTTTTACTCATTATTGTAAATATTAATGCTGCAGAGATGTCCATAAGTGAATAGTCTGCATTAGCAAAGAAGAAATTTACTTTGGCTTTTTTGTCTTTACAGCATGGAAAGAAATTCTGTGTATTTTGCTCATATAAAGTCCTATGAGTCCATTAGCATTCGATTTTGGCTTGCGTTTACTGCATTAAGCTCACAAAGAAGATATTTGTTTAAGTTAGGCTTGTTTTTAGTTGCTGATTTCTGGAATCTAAGTTGCCGGAACTGGTAGATTTATCCAAAAAATAAAAACTTAACCTGTTCCCCCATGAGGGAAGAGAGAGAAGCAAAATATTAGGAAGAAGGGAATTGACGCCTCTATGTAAACATTGGGCTGAAATCCCATTCCTGCTGTTGGGCAGGTTAGGCTTAGTAACTAGCTTGATGCCACCTGTATCTAAAATTGTGATCCAGCTTATTGGCTCAGATTTTTCACCAGCTTGTGCAGATAAAGGTTATTTTGTCTTTGAATCATTTTGCTCCTGGGAGTTTGCAGTGAGTGCAGTTGAGATGTCTTTGGTAAGTTCAGCAAGAAGACAAGCAGTGGAGCAGCTCAGGTAATTGGCTTGGTCAGTGAGCCAGTTTGTCACTTCACCTAAGTGCACCTAATTGACTTCAGCCAAAATGCCAAAATTCCATCAGCAGCAAGACAGGTTGTTGGCACCGGGGTGTTTTGGTGTTGACTGTGATTGAAGATTAGTTGTGGCTCTCTGCTAGGAAGTGTGTTGTATGTCAGCTAGAAGCAAGTACCCTCCTGAATTGCATTCCTCTTTTTGCCCTTGAGTTATCTTAAAGAATGGTTGAATGCCGTGCAAGTGCTGCATTATAGCAAATCCTGCTTGTTGGTGACATTATTGATTGCAGTAAAATTTGTAACAAAAGCAGTGGGTATATTATTGCTTCTTCATAAGGAACGAAAACTCACTTTTTGACTGCAGAGAAAATGTCTTTGCATGGGGCCAGTGTGATGGGTGCATGGCTGTGGGACTTGGGCCCACAATGGCTGCTCGGGTAGATATCAAACTAATACTGACCTATAGGTTTATCTGCCACCAAAAGCAGAATATGTTTGAGTTAGTTTTTGGATATAGCATTTTTTTACATGTTGTAATACACTAATTTAGACACACAGAATTTCAAATCTTAGGGATTTTAATAATTATCAGTGGTGCTGTGCCTGGCATAGGTGGGAATCACATGGCTCCAATTCTGTCTCCCCACGACTCGAGTAAGGGCAGCACCACAAGCACTGTTGGTACTAGGAATATGTGCCCCTGTTTGTTTGTTGTACTTCATGTTTGAAAGCTCCCTATGATTTGAAGAAAGTTGTGCAGTGGGCGAAAATTGGCAGCACCATCACCTCCACACATAGCTGTGAAGATTTTGATTTAAATTGTGCACTGCAAATGACTAGACAAATGCTGAATCGAGATGTTGCCTTTTGTAAGCTGTAACCATTATTCACTCATACGTGTAGTGTGCAGCATGGAAACGTGCAAAATTTAACTCAGTTAAAAGCTGTAGTGTTAAGATGCTGTTTATGATTTTATATATATATATATATATATCTTATTTATCATCACGGAAGAAAATTAACTAATGACAGTTTTCTTTTTGTCCTTTTGCTTTTGCGCCTTGTTTGCTGCTCTTTCTCTGTCCCCAGCCACCTTTTCTTGGCACTGACTCACTCCACTCCTCGCCATCCCCACAGCCTGGTCCCCATGCATCTTCAGCCAAGCTTCGCAGGAGATGCAAGGAGAGCGCTCGAAAAAAGCCCTTAGGCTGTGAGTCACCCAACGAGGGTGCTTCAAAGCACGGGGAGGCAGAGCCGGACTCCGACAGAAAAGGGAGAGTTTGCTCCGCAGAGCAAGACGTGGCTTTCGGCTATAAGCAAAAAGCCGGCAAAGGCGGGACACTCTTTTCCTTCTCCTTGCAACTTCCTGACTCATTCCCTTCCCTCCTGGATGATGATGGCTACCTGTCGCTCCCTAACCTCTCAGAAACCAACCTCCTGCCTGCCAGCGTGCAGCATTACCTTCCCATCCGCTCTCCCTCCCTCGTGCCTTGCTTCCTCTTCATTTTTTTCTTTCTGCTCTCTGCCTCTTTCTCAGTGCCATATGCCCTCACTCTCTCCTTTCCTCTGGCTATGTGCCTCTGCTACCTGGAGCCCAAGGCGGCCTCCTTGAGTGCCTCACTTGCCAATGACCTGAGTGACAGTTCAGAGGAAGAGGTGTGTACCTCGGCATCGAACACTCTTTTTTGTGTTCAGTGCTTCAGTCCTAACCAGTGTTAGATTGCTGCAATAGTGGTCCTACTTTCAGAGCCTCATTTCTGTCTGTGCTGATATGTTAGAAGGGATGGGGTGTTTTTGGTTTGGGGTTGTTTCTTTTCTTTTCTTTTCTTTTCTTTTCTTTTCTTTTCTTTTCTTTTTTTTTTTCATTTATTTTATTTTTTTTCTTGTGTTGGGAGTGCAGCTTGGGGCCCAGGGTTAGGCACAACACTGTGTGTAAGTGGCTTGGTTCAAACTGTGATGGCTGATGCAAAGTGACCTTTGCTAAATAAATTGTCACCAGTCAGCATTGAAGCCTCTGACCCACCAAGATCTGTTTGGCTTTTTTTCCCCTGTGTCTTTATGCTAGGGTGTGTTAGAGTAGCATTCTAAACAGAGGGAAGGAAGTACAATTTGATGCATAAGTATGTAAGTCTCTCCAAAAGTAATGCTTCCTATTTATTTCCATGGAAATGACTACAGATACAAAGAGTACAATTACACTATTTGATAGAACAAATTCTCCACTACAAAACACTGGTTTTCAACATAACCACCACCATTAGCTGTGCATTTTATCCAGAAATGAACAAGAGCTTGCATGCCACCGCTTGTAAATATATGTACCAGCAGAGGTGACCCAACATCTGTCACCACTGCTGAAACGCACCACCCACCACCTCACTATGCTTATGTCCACTGTTTGGTCTCCATTAATGTTCAGCAAGCATCTATGACTGTCAATGAGTGCCAATTTTGCCTGTGGAGGAATTAAAATCCTCTGCTTCATATGCACTTCCATGTCAGGCACCATTCTTTCAGACTGCCCCTCTGCTGTCGTCTGTCATACAACATCAAAATGTAATAAAGTACTGGCAGAAAAATTCAACCTCTGCTGCCGTACCACCAACATCCGCCTCTGACTTCATGGGCCAACACTTTGAAATAAGAGACATTACTTTTGGAGCAGCCCTCATATATATGCATGCACATGTATGTATGTTTATATAAACAGTTAGTCAATGAGCGTCCACGCCAAGTTCAGGGTGTTTGAAATTGAAGAAGGCTCAGCTTTTTGCAATAAGCCATTAGCCATAGCACAAGCCTAGAAAGGGTTTTCTGGTCCAGTGAAACCTGGATCTGGATTTTAGGCCTCAGCCCACTCTCTGCTTCAGGTAAAATTGTTTTCCCATACTTAAATCCAGTGTATTAATGAGAGTTCACACTGGAACAGCTGTTGTGCAGCTGCTACCAGAGCATGCCACGTGGGTCATGTTAACTTTGCAGTGTTAAATTATCACCTCCACAATCACTGGCTCAAGTCACCACAGTTATCATCACAGATAATAAACCAACTGCAGAAGAAGAACAGACAGTGCTTCTGAGAGCACTGGACATGGTAATATATCCAAAAGAAGAAAAGGAATCTGTTTGTTTAAGTAACAGAGTTATTTTTGCTGGTGCCTAGATACTCTTTGTGGGCAGAATACAATAATGAAGTAATTTTTTCTCTTTTCTCCCCCCTTTCCCTTTCTCCTCAAATGCACAAGTATGGTTTTTGCTTTGTGTGTGACAACACCAGATCAGATACTTGCTGACCAGCTGGCTATTTGTAAAAAGTTGTATTGGCCACTGGTCTATGCCATTGCACTGGTTGTCTCCAGTAAACACCTTGTGCATCTAAATGTTTGTGAAATCTTCCACAATGTTTTTTTTTCATTTGTTTGTTTGTTTTTCTATTACTTGGTACAGGATTTCATTTCCTTTTGGTGGAAAGCCAAAAGTTGCATCAGTTTATCTTGCAAAAATATTGTCTTTAAATGCTTTTGGCTCTGTAATGCCTAACTAAGAAGTAATGAGGTGCAATTTCTGATAAAAAGTGTCCCAAATTTTGCTGTCTCATTTCGTGTCTTCACTTTGAAACGGTGTTTATTTCTCAATTTGCATTAGCTCTGTGCTAGGATTAATCTAATAGCAAGAGCAGTGTTAATACAGTGCCAGCTCCAGAATGAGGCAGCATTTATATAATGCATTTGTCTGCTCTTCTTTCAGAAATGAGCACTTCTTACTGAGTGAAGTTTTGGAAGTGTTACAAAGTAGAGTTTTTAATGTAGCTCTTTTGTAAAGGTGATTACTGTGGCAGTGCTTTCTGGCAGACAACACAGACTTGTGCCTAATCCGGGGGGCATTTCTTGTTCAAAACATTGCATGACAGTGAGTATGTTTTAAACTTGGGCATGTCTGCATTACATTGGCAAAACAAATCACAGCAATTATGATCGCAAACTAGAGGATGTGCAGCCACAGCATTTCAGGAGGTAGCTGCTCTCTTCCCTTCCAGTCCCTTACATGCCCACAAGCACAAGCAGCAGCTGCCTGTTGTTGGTGCACTGCAGCCCATATGATTTGAGCCCAACCCTTCTTGCTCCTGAGGAGACCTGCCTTGCTGAGCCTATTAATTCACCATTCCCTGCTCTGCAGTCGTCTTCACTTCAAGTGACCCAATAATGCCAATTTCTGCTCCGTGGCTGTTGGTTGGCTTTTTAGCAGACATGTGCATTACAGTAATCTGAGTTTTTTGCCTTATTTAGGCTTTTATTGCTGCTATGGGGAAAGAAATAAAATCTTCTTCCCAAAAAATGTGCTTCCAGTTCACAAAATATTGGACACAGTGATGCAGAAGGCACTTAGAAGAGCTGCACTCAGTGTTTCATACCTTGCTGAGCTCAGTCCTCCCTTAAACAATGCAGGGAGTCTGGAGGAACTCTGTGCAGTCAGACAGTCCTCCTAGATTTCTTTACATTCTGCGTTGGTACCTAGCTAACATTGCTATTAATATTTAACTAGTGCTCCCAGCTTCAAGTTCTTAAATATGCAATATGTGTTAGACGAAAAGTGTCTTGACAGAAATGTTTTATTTCCTTTTAGATGCCTAGGTTCATCAATTCCTCTTTTTTTTTTTTTTTTTAATTATTTTTTATGAAATAGGAGTAAAAATGCATTGGTTTTGTGGTTTTTTTTTTTTTTTTCATACTGCCATACTTTTACAACTACCCATGTTATAAAGAAGTGAAGTTCTTTGCTAATAAAGAAACAATTTTCAAACCTTTTGTGACACTTTAGTGAAAGTAGCTTGCCTGGCTAAGTAGGCTATTTTGGCAGTATAGTTTTATTTAAAAACAAAAGTGGTCTGCCTAGTGAGTGGTTATTGCTTGAAAAATTGCATCTATCTTGCATTTGTGCACTTACCCAGTAGTTCAGAATATCTGCTTATTCTTCTGCCTGTCACACAATTACAAATTATTTGAAGAAAGGAATAGTAAAGAAAAAGGCAATGAAAACATATTCAAAAAAGTGTCTTTATGAACCACTGCAGTTGTCATAAAATGACAGAAGATAAAAAAATCAAAGTTAAAAGTGATACTGCATCCGTGTCTTTCAGTAGGTTGCCTATTTCTCCCATTTCATGTTGATGTGATCTGAGGATGAGATGTGTAGATCATCTAGAGACCACAGAAAGTCAGTAATCAAAATAAGAGCGTCCACTGATGCTAAAACAACTTGTATGTGCCAGTCTGGGGCATTAGAGAGTATTTTCTTTCCTTAATAGTTTTCTGCAAGCTTACATAACATCAAAAGCAATCACTCAGGCTATCTTCCCAGCCTGTAATAACCTGCACTTGACTTGATTTATGCCTTGACATGAGCTCTCCTCTAAAACTTTCTTCATGGTGTCAGTGTTCTACAGGAGCAAAGCAGGGACAGACCAGTGTGAGCAATGCTGTGCTTTGTTTCCTTTTTATCACTTGTACCTAGTGAGTGTTGTTGGGGGGAGGAGGGAGGGAGTTACTTTTTATTTTTCTCCTGCTTTTATTCATATTCTGAAATGGAATGAGAAGTGTGGTTTTTTGTTTTTTTGTTTTTTGTTTTTTTAATGATAGTTTTGTTTCTTTTTGCTGTTGGTAACAATATCAGCTGCTGTTTACTGGAACCAAGTGGGATCTGAGCCCTACCATTACTCGTTAGACAGGAGGGGGTATGGTTATTTCTACTCCTTGGTAATGCAGACAGCCTCATAGTGTGTAAATGTGGAGACAAGACAACTTTTCTGTACAAATGAGGGGCTGAAAGTCAGGTGACTGTTCAAGTAGTTTTTTTCTTTTTAATAATCTTTTCCCCCTCCAGATAAAAGGTCAAACACCACATTAATCTCTATTGGCTAGAACAAAAATTTGATAAACAGCATTTTTAAAAAATCGTTTTGGGAGGAAAAGTTTCTTTAGAAAATAGAATTTTAATTTAATTTTTATTTTTATTTTTATTTTTTTTTAGATTTTTAAAAGCCACCTGGCTTTCTTATGAAAAAAAAAAAAAAAAAAAAAAAAAAAAAATCTGCTATTCAAATAAGACTTATCCAGTAATGTTTTGTTTGGCTTAAAAATTTGTTACAGTAACGCCATATTCTGTATACAGTATGCCTTGAGTCTTCCTCTGAGTCTGTTCTGTTTACTAATATAGCACCTTTATTTTGCTTCTTTGACTTGTGCGTGGTTTGAAAAGCAATGCTAATGCAGTTCACAGGGATGTTGAATTTAATGGCTCCCTGTGTGGCCAGCGTGTACTGATGAGATGGGTTTATTCTTTATTCCTGCCTTCCTCTCGGAACCCGGTTACTTGTCTAACAAAATAGACTGACAGTGAGCAGACGGATACTGCAGCTGATGGTGAGACCACTGCCACCGAGGTTTGTACAGCCAATGGCCCCCAGTTACTGAAGGGGAGAGCCTTTGGTTTCATCTCTCCCTGACCCCAGGCATGAATGCTGAATTGCATGTCTCCTCCTGCAGTGTAGGGCCCCCACTCTGCATGTGCGAGAGCTTCCCTTGGCCAGCGGAGTTCTTGGGGCACCCTTCATATTCGTTCTTACTACTGTATTTTATCTGGAGGCTGCTGAGACGACGCTGCCTTGTGCAGATAGAGGGATGATAGCAGCATCACCCATGCAAACACTGGCTACCTGGTTGTTCGTGTCATGGTGTTTGGTGCTTGTTTCTTTGCTCTTAAAATCTGCTGCCTGTTGGAGAGAGGGAGCAGGGGGAAGGAGCTACAGCACAGTTTTCAAGTTTTCTGAGAAAAGGTGTCATGGTTCTATGTTTTTGTTTTTGTACATAGAACCATGACAAAAGGTATTTCCAGGTTAGAAATACCTTCAGTGCAATTAATTTCACGTCATCTTCAACAATGCATAGATTGCAATCCACGTATTGTCTTCAGATGTGGAACATTAAAAAGTGGGTTTTTCTTGATGCTGATAAGCTTCTTATCCACAGTGTAGTATGTAGGGTACGCAGGCAAATTCAGCCCTATGCGACGTTAGTGAAGTGGATATAATGCTTTCATAATTAATATGGTTGCAGCTGCAAACGTGAGCTGAATTTGGTCTGGCATCTGGTAGAAGACAGAGCCTTGCTGCAAACACTACTGTAGCTTTTCAGTAAGATCTCATTAATATTTCAGACCATTAAAATTATCGTCAAGGAAGAGTTCTGTGTATGACGCGTCAGGACAATTTGGCTTTGGCTGTAAATAGAATAGATTTGAACTGAATTATAAAGTAGTCAACAGATAAAGATTTTCCAGTGGGTTATTTCACTAATTAGAACTGTATGAAAAAATTAAGTCAAAATAGAGGCGCAAGCATTAACAATCCAAATGGAGCAACAACACAGCGTCTGTTGAGTACAGTCAGGAGCACAAAATGCTTTAAAGAATCACTTGCACTCCATAGCTTCAGGCTTTGAGTCATACAGAAAGCATAACATAATCCCAAAGCCATTATGTTTAAAATGTTCAGTTTATTTAGCAAAAATTCACAATAATCTTCCTATGTGCCATTTTTATTTTAGAGGTGAGGATTTTATGAATCTGTTTTTCTTATAGATGCCCAATTTTCAGGAAGTTTGTATACTTACCATCTGAAAATGAAATCCTTCAAAAATAGACTCTGTTCGTGATCCATTTTGCATTGCTTTTGAAAAAATTGAGATGCAGTGAACATTGTGTATTTGCAATCTAAAATCTCCACTGCAGATAGGTGCTGAAAGAATATATGCAGACTAAAATGAAGTAAATTTATATTAATGCGGCATGGGACTGAGGTTCAGGAAACAGCACTTTTTGCAAATAAGATGTGTTTCATTCCTTAGAAGTTGTTGCACATGTTTCCCTTGGTCTTATTTATACAGAACATCTTCTGTGACCCAGGAGATGTCATCATATGTTTAAGCTTTGGGATTACAGATTTCTGAAGAATTTGTTATTGCCATTTGGTCTTAAACCAGCAATGATCTCATTGATTAAGTCCATCTTCTGCTCCATACGTAGCTAGAGGACCTATAAAAGTAGAGTGCACCAATGATAATGGAGAATTAAATGATGGAAGTTAGACAATGGTCATGGAAATTTTAAAGGGAAATATTAAATACTCATTTGTACAAAATTAACAACTTTGGAAAGAGGAGGCCTGCTCTGAATTAGAAAAACTGCAGTCAGCTACTGTGTCTGTGCATTCTCCTTAAGTCCTTAACAAAGAGAAAATGTGCTCTGAACCTAGTTCACTGACCAACATCTGTAAAGCTTTCTGTAATTGGATGGGTAAGGTGTTTTTTCAAATCTTTCTCATGCTGGCAGTCGGATCAAGAGGAGGACGGAGATCTAAAGGCACAGGTACAGAAGCGGAAGGTCCAGATGTTGCTAAAGTACTGTTGTTGGAGGTGTTCATATCTCCCAGCATGTTACTGTTGGTTCTCTGTGAAGAAATGTGTAGAAACAGCATTTTGTATCCTTTCAATACTGTGTCCCTTACCTTTCCCTTTCTTTTTCACTTCTTTCAGAATAGTCTGATTAAGCGAATACAGGGTGAAAATGTGTATGTCAAACATAGTAATCTTATGTTAGAGGTTGGTATTGGTATATACCAGTGCATGTGCGTACATGTGTGTTAGTTTTAGTGGTAAACTGTGGATCTGCACTATGATGCATGAGCTGTGTATTCCCACCTGCTAGTAAATTAAGTAGATATTTTTTTCTCAGATTACAACGACTCCTCTAACTTGTACTATAAATATGTAAATGCGTGTGCGTATGTGTGTGTGCCTCCACGCGCATATGTATGTTTGTTTGAAGCCTCCTTATCAGGTGTAAATTGTAGTGATACTGATAAACTCCTTAAGAGTATATTTATACTCACTTGTATGAGATATGCTATGCTGTTACCTCTCAAAATGCCACATTTTCACAGAGTGTTGTGTTAGTGATGTGCTCCCCGGCTCCCCAAGATTTTACTTTCCTCTTTACTAACCAAGTTATGTGTTTTGGCTCTGAAATTTCGTCGGCTTAGGATGTATTACAAACTGCTCTATTCTTTTAAAACTACCTAGGACCTAGACAAAACCCAGGAAGATCTGATGAAACATCAGACCAATATAAGCGAGCTGAAACGAACCTTCTTGGAAACCTCCACAGAAACGGCTGTGTCTAATGAGTGGGAGAAGAGGCTTTCCACATCTCCCGTTCGGCTTGCAGCAAGGCAGGAGGAGGCTCCTATGATTGAACCACTAGTGCCTGAAGAGGTCAGCAAGATCTGAAAGGCTTCATAATATATTTATGTATTCATTTTTACTTAGAGTAGCTCTCAGAAGATATTTGAGGCCCCTCCATACTTGCAGATGCTCTATTTTCTCAGGAGTCTACCAGCAAAGGTACAAGGAAAAGCGGATAGCTGATGTTTATATGTATAATGATAGTCTGCAGAATTCACTGCTAGCCACCTAGCAGAACTGGGTCTCTGTAAGGGTGCAAAATGCAGGCTTCCTTACAGGTTCGGTAAGCTTGAGGAAGTTTGCCCATGCATGAAACAAAACATGACAGTGATTGAGGGAAAATTTAAATAACGGTGACTGCTTGGGAGCAGTGGCATTGCAACATGGGCGGAGGTACAGTACCAGGCCTGACAAGAAAATACAGACCAAAGGGCAGAACTCTTGTCAGTCTCTAAGGATGAAGAAGAAATAATGATAATTGGACCTGCTTGCCCACTTCCGTAAGGATTTTGATAGTTGCTGCCGTCTGCTGGTTACCCATTGAAGAGTCAGTGTAGATTGCTAAGCATGCACATTTTCATGCAGGAACAAAATCTTGCTCACTGTGCAGTCTAAAATGATTGTGAGGATTTAACACCATCTAAAAAGTAGTCTTCTATTTAGGTTATGGGTAGATATTGAGATGTAGAGGCAACGATATAGTATTAGTGTTGCCTTAAAATACAGAAGTGTTTATAACAAGCAGAGAACGTCTTGATTAAATCCAATAGTGCAAACAGAAACTTGCTTGAGTAGTTTGCATGAAGGTAATTTTTTTATTCCATTGTGCTAATCTGGCTTCTGTCTGACAGGAATCATCTTTATGTTTACTGCTTGCTTTTTAGGACCAATAGATCATAGAATCACAGAATGCTTTGAGTTGGAAGGGACCTCAAAGCCCTCCCAGTCTCACCCCGTGCAGTGGGCAGGGCTGCCACCCAGCAGCTCAGCTGCCCAGGGCCCCATCCAACCTGGCCTTGAGCGCCTCCAGGGATGGGGCACCACAGCTTACATGGGCAGCTGTGTCAGTGCCTCACTGTCCTCTCAGTAAATATTTCCTTCCTTATATTTAAACTATATCTGTCCTCATTTAGTTTAAAGCCGTTATAACTTGGCCCATCACTACATGATCTTGTAAAAAGTCTCACTCCAGTTTTCCTGTAGGCCCCTTTCAAGTAGTGGAAGGCCACGGTGAAGTTTCCCTGGAGCCTTCTCTTCTCAAGGCTGAATGACTCCACTTCTCTCAGCCTTTCATCACAGGGGAGGTGCTCCATCCTGCTGATCAACCTCATGGCCTTCCTGTGAATTCTCTCTGATAGGTTCATGTTGTTCTTGTGCTGTGGGCCTGTAAGATATTATTCTGTTAACATCAGTGTCTCAAAGCTTGCCTATAAATTGGAGCGAGACAGGGTCCCGGAGCTGAAGGCAATGGTCCAGGTGTAGTACTGCTGCTCATGAGTACAGGCAGAGGGGAGCAGTCACCTCCCCCTACTGTCTTGTTCAGAAATCATAATAGATCTTACAAACATGTTTGTAGATGAAAATGCAGGTTTTCTGTCTTAAAAGTAAAATCGTAAGTCTAATAAACAGAATGCATCTAACATATTAAAGAGGTAAAGACCTGGTGAAAAGTGAGTGGCTGGAAAGGTGAATCCAAATCAGAGGAGTGTGAGTGAAGCAAATAAACCCCTGAGTTTCTTTGTTGTCTTAATTATTTTGCAAATTTAGTAACAAAATGTTGATTAAACCACACAAGCAGTAGCAAAGCATTACAGTTTTGTAGGTTTTACCCTGAGGAAAGACATCCTAACTTAAGCATTCATTTGGAAATAAAAAGGGCGAGAAATATCCTGATCTGGTAGCATTCTTACTGGAGGAAAGTAACTTGCTCAAAAGCAATGTCCAGTTACTATATCTTACATGCATCTAAATGAATTGCTGTGAAAAATATGAGTGGATTTGAGTTCTCAGAGCCTAACTCTGAGGTGACTTCTAGTAACATATGACATCCTTTTTGTCTGTGCTAGGCAGGATTGTTTCAGATTGCACATCTTGCTGATAGAATAATTTGTCAGGAAAATCTTCAGCCATGCATAGTCAAAATCAGCAGAGGCAGTCAGGATCCAAAGCACTTACACCTTCCTTGTGTGGTAGCTCAACATCCGCAAAGATGCTACACACTTCACTCACTCAAAATAGCCACTTTAAAGGTGTATTTAGTTCTGTTACAACTAGCTCTTCAAGATTACTACAATAAAAGAAGAACAGAGAGGAAAGTAAAACACACACTTGGAGTGTTTGGTATGTTTGTGTTTGGTCGGATTGAGCCTGTCAGGTCACCAATTGGTTCTCACAATAATGGGAAGAAATTATTTCATTTTATTTAGTTATGAGAAATAATTTTAAATGGCTACTATAATGTTGGCCAGATAGCTGCAGAACATGAAAGCTGTCGTATTAACAAAATAAAAACCAAGGGTAAAGTCAAAGAGGATGTTGATGTCATTCTGTAAGAGGAAGCTGGAAATTTAAGGAAGAAATAAAGCCAGAGTGAGGCGCAGGTCCCTGTTCTTAGCCTATAGATGGAAGCCACATCAGATGGCACCAGACAAACTTAAGTGAATGACATAGGACAAAATAAATGCCACACATCCACAACCAAGTATTGCTCAATTTGTTATTTTTTCCAGTTATGCAGGCTTTATACTTATGTCTACGTTGCATCCATATGATGTCGTGAACAGAGAGAGGCCTCAGTTGTAAAATTATTTTAGTTCTGTTGTCTAACTTATCATGCAGTAAATACTTTATAAAGAAATATGATAAGCTATTGTATAGTATAGTGGACTGTATGCCCTCCATTTACTGAAACCATTTGTTCCCCTGACATTAGACCAAAGAAGAAAGAGAAAAATCAGAAAAACTCATAGTATTGCAGAAAGGAGGTACTACATTCCTTGAAATGCAGGTAAAAACTAATCATACTTTCTTGAAATGCAATCAGATAGGCTGACAGTTGTTTATTATCTTTTTTTCCTTTCCAGACCACTTTTTTTTAATTATTATTTTCATACTTATTTCCTAATTTTAGAGACAGATGTTTTGTGGGCCAGGTTCAGAGGAATGTGGTCTCTCCAGTGCTTCTGGCTATCTAATACAGATTGATTTCTCTGCTAGTTACAGCTCTACTTGCATAGTGCTATTTGTGGATGTTGTTTGCAGTTGTGCATGCATTTTCAGCGTAAGTTACACTGAGAACTTTGTGATGAATGGAGCACTTGTGTCATTAGAATGAATTTCCTGTATACTGTCAAGTGAATTCAGATTACTGAGTGATGGTGAACTCTGTGTTCTTATTGGTTTTTCTATTAGCCGAGTGTGATAGAGAAGAAGCTACAGGAAGGAGAATCTGCTGACACTTTGGTTACTTCTCATCAAATCATTATCCAGAAAAGTATCCCATCATCCCTAGAGGTTATTTTTAATTCATTCGATTTTAAATAACCACATTTGCTTAGTTAAATGCAGAAGTTACAGTCTTATGGTCAAATAAGTGGATGCTGATTGTGTAGACAGAGAAAATCATTGTAGTATACTTGCATAAGGAGAAAAAAAGACGTTGTCTTCAGTTCAATATCCTTAGTAGTATGGCATTTCCTGTGTTGTACTATTATATTTAAATAATGCTGAAGGGGGTTGATGTTTTCTAACAAAAGCAGACTGCAGTGTAGACTGCAGCTACATACGAATGCATACTGTTTTAAAACCTCATCAAAAGTGTGGTTGTTGCAAACGGGGTCCAGTTGAATGGGCTTATTTGCCCTATTTTTGTAACTTGTTTTCAAGTAGCATTACGAACCATGGCGATGTATGATTTTTAACCTCAGGATGATCCTGATGATCATTTTATTCTGCTTCAAATTACTGCAGAAAAGTGTGGCAAATGTAATTTTTTGTGTCCACATTATACGGGCCTCTAACAGGAAGAAACCTACAAGAAATCTAACTTCGCCTAAGGTGATGCTGTTTATTTGTTTAATAACTGCTCTAAGAAGTTCAGTGGTAAAATTATTTTATGCTTTCCGAAGAGGCAGCATTGATTTCTTAAAAGACTTCATACTTTAGTGCTCCTGAAACACAGATAAACCTTCAGATATTCTAATATAGCTTTTATATCTCAAATATAGGGCACTGAGGATTGGGTTATTATAGACAAAGTACCTTCTGAGGTAGCTGATGGTGAATCGAAAAAAAGTGTGACGTACAAAGTGGTGACTGTGAGCAGTAAAGCTGGCATTCCACCTGAGGTACTAAAATCCAGTACTGTTCTGGGCTTTGAGGACTTGGAAAGTGAAATACAATCCAAAGATGAGAATAAGCAGAAAATGTTCACCTTAGGAAAGTCCTATGATGCTGTGTCTGGGAAAATTGTTACCATGACAAGTAAAACTAAAGAGGGAGAGAAAACAGTACAGCCTTCTGTAGAAGTTTTGCAAAAAAAGGAGAAGGAAGGACAAGAATCTGCGAAAATCATTCCAGTAGTGGCCAAGTATGGGATTGTAGAGCCTGTCGCTGAGGAGAAGGCCGATGTGCAGAGCACAAAAAGAAAGCTGTCTGACTCACTGACACCTATAAAGGAAGCCGAATCTCAGTTGCAAAGTCCTGAAGAGGAGAGCTTGAAAAAGACGCTAAGGATGGACCAAGATGTGCAGTTACTGAGAAGCCTGCAGCTTGGCAAAGCAGAAAAGCACCTTGATGGTGAAGCTGCAAAAGCAGGGGCATTTGCCTGGAAAGATAAAAGCGTGTCTGAGTGGAGATACTCCAGAGAACAACCATTTACCATTGCTACTGCTCACTATGTTACTGAGTCGTCTGCGTCAAAAGTAGTGGTAACAAGGGGCTTTGACTTCATGCCACAGTTTAAAGATTAAAGCATGACTTCTTTTAGGCAATGCCCTCACACTACCCTGCCTTTCAGTTCTCCTGCTGCCTGGCTTTATGTTGACAGCAGCCAACCCAGCTTATTTTTTTTCTCATGATTTGAAGCCGTACCACAGTGTAAAGCAGGCATTATATAAGGCTTCCAACGTTTCCGGTTTATTTAAAGATCCACGTTACTTACATGTGGTGTTGCCGCTGTTGCTTGTTAACCAAAGGGTAAAAAGGTTTGCTTGAACGAGCAAAACGCCAGTGCTAACAACTATGCTTTGTAATTATTGCTTACTACAGCCAGTATGAATTTGCTCTAATTTATTTTCCCATCCTTATCTGTTCCCAACCTCTCTGTGCCTCGCAACCTTCTCTTCCTTTCCTCCGTCTCTGCCTCCAGTCAATTAGTATTTCTGTGCATGTGGGTCGACCTTTCATCTGTGTATGACTCTCCATTTCTTTGTCTATTTAGACTAAACAGTCCACTGGTGAAAAAACCCTGGATGGCTCAGATATCTTCAGTTTAATAGAGTCCGCCAGAAAGCCAACTGAGTTCATAGGAGGGGTTACTACTACTTCCCATAGCTGGGCACAGGTGGCTGTTTGATTCCATCCCTTGGTGTTATAACTGCACAATGATTACTTTTGATTTGCTTCTGTATCCTGTTTTTATGCATAACTCAGAGCCTGTATGACTAACGCATGGCATTGCTGTGCCTTGTCCTTTGTTACAACAGACCACAACAGAAACATCACCAAAAGGGAAAAAACAACAACAAAAAAAAGAGTTGTGTTTTTTTTTTTTTTAATCTCATTTCACTTTATTTTGGTCATTTTACAGGGTGCTGTATTTTGCCTTTATAAAACTCGCACAAAACTACCAAGGATAAAAACACTGACATTTCTCTTCACTTCTAAAATCATAATTCTTGTTTTATTTTTCATTTCTACTTTTCTGATTATGTCCTTAGAGTGAAAATCCATCAAAGCGAGAGAAATAAATTGGCAAAATGTAATACCCCACTTTTATTTATGTTCACAGTACATTGAGCTGAGGAGCTGCTCTGTGTAGCGTTTTCTGCTTTCAACATGAGAATATTTTTTTTCCCTCTTTCCCTACAGAGAATAGACACGACGACATCTCAGGAGATAACTTCCAGTGAATTGAAGCAAGAGGCTCAGCCACACCAGGACGCAGTGACGAAGGTTGTACAGGAGACTGTGGTTATCGAGGAGAGACGTGGGATGAATGTGCATGCGAGTGGGGATCCTGCTACAGTGGCTGGACTTGCAGATGCCCAGGCTCAGGCAGCATCTGCTAGTGCAAAGGGGAAGGAGGGCTCTGCTGTGACTAAGGGGGCTAAAGAGGAAAAAAAAGAGGCTCACAAAGCTGTAACGAAACAGGAAGGCATTGCTGCTTCTACTTCTCATGAGCAAGCGGAGGAGCACAGTACAACAGTCCACCTTTCAGACTCTTTGGAAAGAAAACCTCATTTTGAGGTAACTCATTATTAAATCAGTTCTTGTGCTGAGTTGTAAATGTACGCGGTAGTGGACTAAGTCAATTCCTCTCATGGAAAGTAAAGAGTACAAGACTTGTATGATTGCGTCTTTACAGCAGGCAGTTTGTTTCTCCTCTTATTTCCTCCTTGCATGGCACCTGCAAGGCTTGTTGCTGGTTTCCATCCTTGGCTAAATGCCACGCATATTTTACTTAAAAGCGCTTTTCATGCTGTGGAGAAATGCCTCATTTGCTGGCTTTTTATGCAGTGGGCAACAAGGATTCAGCTGGCATTCTCTTTGGGAAAATCCATCAGGATTGGCAAAGTTTGCATGTCCTCAAAGACAGAAAATAATTTTTTTTCCATGCTTGATACAATTGTAGATTATTGTACTATGTCTTAAGCAATCTGTGCTTATTATGTTTGCCCCATTAGCAGAATTTCAAGAAGCATTTTGTAGAAGGGTAGGGAGACCTTGTTTTGCTCCTTTTTTTCTGAAAGCTGAATGGAAAAGTAAGCCTGAATAGGATTTATTCTCTTGTCATTCTCAGAACATGTGTAATATTTACATCTTTCCTGAAGCTCATTCTCTTTTAATCCAGAATAGTGTCAAACTGCCAGCACTATATTACTATATACCTGTGTGTACCATTACAACAAAGGGATTTTTTTCTCTTTTTTTTTTTTCTTAAAATGTAGACCACTTTCTATTGCTACCCCTTCTTTTCCTATGCAAAAAGAAGCAACACCCTCCTCCTACCCCGGCCCCCCCCCCCCAAAAAAAACACCCTTTCTGAGAAATCCAGAATCTTTACTAAATTTTCCAATCTCTTTTTTTGTTGTTGTTCACACAGTCACCAGTTGTGAAGACTGAAACAATCAGTTTCAGTAGTGTTTCTACTGGGGGGGAAAACCTTGAAATTTCAACAAAGGAAGTGCCAGTAGTCCATACAGAAACAAAAACCATTACATATGAGTCTTCACAGGTAAGAAATCCTACAGAAGCCAACATCTAATTAATGTGGCCTTGAGGAGCCATCTTTCTTCATCCATATCTTAGTGTATTCCTTAGTGTGAACTGTTATTCAAGAATTGAATACTAGTAAGGGGAGTAAGTGCATAAGTACAGTGTACCTGTAGGTGGCTGGTGTGTCTTGATGTAGGGCCTTTTAAGAACACTGATAAAACTACATTTCAAAGCCCCAGTTTCTCATCTGTCCTTCCAGAAGAAGAGTCTTAATGCAGAGAGAATTACCGACACATAATCACCTTAACAGCAGTTGTTACCCTGTTGTTAAATAAATTTCTATGAAGAAAAATAAAAATAGGGAATTTAGTTCTTGTCTTCCTGTGCCTAAGAGTATGCTTTTGATGATTGTTTTCTGGTTCTCTAGGTGGATAGTGGTGCTGACTCAGAGCCTGGTGTGCTGATGAGTGCACAAACTATCACATCTGAAACCACCAGCACTACAACCACTACACACATCACCAAAGTGAGTCCTCTGGAAATGGGAAGCTTTTTTTTTTTTTCTGAAGGATCTGTGTTTTCTTAGCTTCTGTTATTTTAAAACATAGACACATGCTTATAATCTCCGGACAAAATCCTATCTATTTTGGGTTTCTGTCTTCGTTCACCTGTCTTTGGGTATACTACCTTTATTAACCGATCATCCAAGGACTTAATAGTAGTGATCTGAAAAGTATAAACCCTTCAGGTATGTCTCCACTGCTGTGCAGAGCTATTTGAATTAGAAACAAATACTCTCTGAAACAGGGAGCAATGTAGCCAAGTTGACATCAAATGGTTCAAAAGGAAGGAATAATTTTCCTCAGCATGAGTGCGTATTGACAGGACTATACTGCTTTTGAGTCCTGCGCTATTTGGTCTGCACAGTGTTGAAATGGTGTTATAAATCTGCATCATATAGTCATAATGGGACATTCAGTCAGCTCAGATACTGTGGTTGCTGTTTTGTTGTGTTGTACTGTAAGGAGCTTGCCTGCAGTCAGACAGAAAGCTTATGGCTGAACAGACAAATTATGCTGGGTCTTCCACTTTCAAGGCAGCAACTCAGTAACAGGACCTCCCTCAGCAGAAACACTGTACAGTGACAACTCTCTTACTAGTATTTGATGAAGGTAGCGTTTTATCTTTCTGCATTGCAATTCACCCTTCAGTAGACGAGCTGTGCAAGGGCTGTACAGCCTCTCTGTTCTTCTGAAGCCTGCAGTAAGACTTACGTAGGTTTTAATATGAGCTGTTTGTATGTCCATTCTTCTTTTCATGGGATGAGTTTACCACTAATAGCATTTTTGATCCACCACTTGCAAATATCTTCCTTGATGTGTACATGTTGGTTAAAATCACAATGTCGTCTTTGTTGGAAGGAACTCTGGAGAGGTCCAACCCCCCATTCAGAGCAAGCTCCAATTGCAGTACAGGGTTATCCCCTCTGTGTGTCTAGAGTTTGTTCAATTCAGCCACATCTGGATTTGTGATCATCCTCCAAATGGGTTGCATCACTCTTTAAAGCCAGTTACTGATATATATTTATCAATCTCATTTAGACTGTGAAAGGAGGCATCTCAGAGACAAGAATCGAAAAACGAATAGTCATCACAGGAGATGCAGATATTGATCATGATCAGGTAAAATCTCTAAGCTGTTCAAGGCTACCTTGAAGACTGCCAAACAGAACATTATTAAACATTGGTTTAAAAGACACTGTTCAAACTGACATGCCTTAAATTAAACTGAACTAGTAGTTAAATCAGTGATGGTATATTTCATATTTTAATCATTTTCCTCATTTGTAAATTGTGTAATATCTCATGAATCTCTCCACCTTGCTACTGATCATGCATGTTCCACCTCCTTTTTGTTTTTGCCCTTCTGTGGTTTCCTTGGGATAGGCGCTGGCTCAGGCAATTAAAGAAGCCAAAGAGCAGCACCCTGACATGTCAGTGACCAAAGTAGTGGTACATAAAGAGACAGAAATCACACCAGAAGATGGGGAGGATTGACCACAGGTAAGAAGACTAGATGATTTTCATAGGCATTTACTGGGCTGGCATGTTGCAAAGGTTGTTTTCCTACCATAATTCACCTCTAACTTCACTTTCTCTCTCTGGCATTTGCAATTTGCATTTGCGCTGTTTATCAGTTTTGATATTTGAATGCAAAGCCCATTCAGCTCTGACTGTCTTCATTTAAATAGTGCCAGCTGGAGAAACAGAAACTACTCATTTGCTTTTGTTGGCTCTCTGCAAATTTCTCACTGTCCATGCTAATCCTGAAGTCAAAAAAACCTGTTGTCTGCTTCTGTGTCATTTAAGAACAAACTGTTGTTCTTAAAGGTATGCATTGTTTAAAAAATGCCAAGGTTAAAACCTATAGCTGCTTTTTCAATGTTCTGTGCAGATATGTTACAAGTTAAGCTTTATTCCAAGCTTGCAAAGATATGGCCTAACCTGCTTTCGATTTTTGTTTCAAACCCAGTGAGCTCAGTGTGTCAGCATTTGGATGTCTTGGCTTTCTTGTATTTCAGAGGACACATTATGTTTTAAAGCAGCATTGTTTATCAGGATGAGAAGATGATGCAGCTTTCTTGTGTCAAGCTTTTTTTTCTTTTTTTTCTTTTTTTTTTTCCCGTAAAGGCATGCTCTCCAGTTGTGGTTGGCTAAACAGACATCTTAATATTCCTGTATTTACTCTATGTGCAGAAATATGTCATGCATACTAACCTGCTATGTAAAAGCTGCTAATGCTGGCACCGTTGCGCAAATTGCTTTGAATGCTGTATGCAGAAGAAAGAAAAAAAAGCTGCTTGTCTACTTTATTTAAATCTGTAGCAGCATTTTATTCTTAAAACCGTATATGTTCCCTAGCATTTGGTGGAATTAACAGAGTATGATGCACAGCACCTTTTGTTATTTATTTTGGAAAATGGAACCAATCACTGAGGAGTGAGTAGCTGTGATTCTTGCTAATTGATGAAGAGAAAACATAAAGTGGCTCAGTTAAAGTCTATTGATGTCACTAATTCTTTCCACTGGCATCGCTGGACTTTGGATTTGGGCCAAGTTGCTTATACTGAGATGATACTGTTTTTGTGCAAACAGTTGGACTAAATCTCTTCTGTAAGATAGCAGTTGTTGCAAATAATTAACGCAATTCTCTCTCCTGCAGGAATAATCTAGATTGCATATGAATCCAGACATGCTCACCCATAGGAATACAAGAGCCTCTATGGAGTCTCAGTTCCAACCTGACTGACTTGTATCTGTGTATGGAAAATTTCAGTACAGAAGAATTGATCTTGACCGTTAATAAAGAAACTGGCAGAAATCTCTTCCCCTAGAAAGCAATCTGAATCAGCAGCAGTTATATTGCATGAAGCAACGATAAAATTACAGAAAAGCAGCATTTTTAATTTTCTTAAAATATCTAAGTTTTCAGCTATACCTGCACGTTCATAAACAATATAAACAGTGATCTCATGTAACACATAAACAGTTCATGCCTTTCACAGTTTATGAAAGTCTAAACAGATTAAAATTTGTTAGGTGGCAAGCCTTTTGTTTACGGATATTGTAAATGAAGATTACCCCCAAAATGCTAGAAGCTCTATAGGTACTGTGTATAATGTTTTACCACACATTAGATGTGCCAATAACACAGTTTATTCAGTAAACACCTTGAATCTTATATTTGTTTCATCTTGTTTTATTACTGCCCGATAAACAATGACAAATCTTTACTCTTATCAAAATATTTAAATGCTTACAAAGTGTGCTTTGTATACCTGACTGAATACCTTATGAGGTAGTAATTATTTTAGCTTATTAACTTTAACAATTTTTGTCAGCGTTGTTCAGAGTCAGCTTCTGGTCACCCTTCACAGATCCTAACCTTGTAAATTATATGTAGTTATTTTGGGAAAAAAAAATCTGTATTTTACTTAGTTTGCAGCATTAGAAAGTTATTAATCTAAAGTAACCACGACGGTTTTCTATTGATTTCCCTTTTTGTTCTCAGAGGAAAAGAAAAAATCTGTTTGAGAATCTGGTCAGCATTTACTATCTAGTTCAGAGTCAAGCCTTAACCTGTACAGAACGTCCACTGAAAACTTGTTAGTGTTCAGCTATAATACCCACTGAAGGGATAGAGTCCATTACACTGTCAGCTGCATCACAACACATGGTGAATGTATGTTTCTGCATAGTGAAATAAAAGTGGTAAATGCATCCAAAATTGTATTGTTCTGTGTCTAAAAGAACCTAGTGTTTCTTATATTCAAAATTTGAGTTGCATTTGTAAGGCACCACAGGTTTTACGCATCTGCACAGTAGACACATTTTGTCTTCAGAGGCTGAGACTGCACTGTGCCGACAGTTGGAGATGCAGGGGACCCAAAGGGATGACCTTGTTTACCTTTGGGTAAATGATGTTTCAAAGGAAAAGAAGCATTTGGTTTCTCCTGTTTTCTGTAGTTGTGTACAGTTCCACTGAGGCTTAATGAAGGATTTTTTGGTTGCTTAGAAAGTAAAGGCCTGTAGCCCTTCTCTTCTGGCATTTTTACTCCGAAACATGGATTAAATTCTCTCTTCAAAGCATTATTAATTTTCTATTCCTTTTCCTTGCTCTTTTGCCACATCTCATTGACACTCCCCTGATAATTCAAGAGAAGTTCTTGACGAATAATTCACCCTTCAATCTGTATCTCCTTGCAGGATTGAAAGAAATAGATACAAGCAGACTTTTCAGGACATAAAGGGCCATATTTGCCCTTCATTGTTTACATGGGGCTCCCTCTCACTGAAGTCAATGGATTTGGCTTCAGTCAAGGGCAAGGCTTGACCCAGTGACTTGTTAATAAATGTTTATTTTCTTAATTTAAAAAGAAAAAATAGTATATAGAGAGAGAATAATCTGTAGATAATAATTAAAAATTATATCCCAAGGCTTCAGAAGCTTTGCCCTCAGTCTCTATAACGTCTTCCTTCCACCAGCCATTCTTCATGCCTTTAATCCGGAGTGCGAACTGTGTAACTTCCCATACTGCATTTCTTACCTCTTGCCTGATGAGTAACGCAAAGGTTACGGTATGTTATGATCTTCGGCTGACCTCTCTCCCCACTTGTCTTTTATATTTAGAGATGAGTATGTCCTTGCCCTCTTTGGTGAAGGTAGGCTCAGCTTTCTGGTGCTGCTAGCGTCCTGCGGCAGCCATAGGTGGAAGAGGTGCTCACGCAGCTTCCCGGCAGACTTCCTTCCAGGTTCTCACTACTGCATCAGGAGTTTAAAAGTAGACTCTGAAGCCATATTGATCTTCCCTCAGGTGTCCCTTATGTTGTCAGCTGAGAAACAGCATTGTATTACCTCAGAGAGAGGTGAGGTGGTTGCAAAGCCTTCTCTCCAGAGATAGCATTATATTTTAGCATGGCTTGAGGAGATTGTACTTTGATGATACTGCACAGTATGTATGCTGTCTAAAGATATTGTATCTTTAAAAGGTAGTGTCCTTAGAAAGGATGCTCACAGCTAAGATACGGCCTAAGCATGTGCAAAATATGAGGAGATTAGAGTGGACAGGCAAGGACATCTCAGTGCCGCTGCTGGCAGTAGACCCTTGTTTGGGGGATGGTTCCTGGGAGCAATAGTCTTGGTTTTTGTTAGAAACTGTTTCTTGGGTTGTCTGCCTAATGCTGTGCCACAAGAAATAAAAAACACTTGCCTGTTTCTACCAACCAACTTTTGTCTATGGCTCTTCTCTTTTATTGTTGGTCTTTGTCCTGTGTCTTGACGTAAAACAGCTTGTAAAACAAACCAGCAAATTATGTTACTTGAAAGCACTGTTACTAACACAGACGTCAGTACAAGACAGCCTCACATTACAACTGAAGCCACAGCTCCAGCACCACGAGAAGTGACTGCTCTGCATCACTGGGGTAAAGGATCATGATGGGAGAGCTTTGCACACCAGGCAAGAATCAACATAATGAGCTGCAGTGGAAACGCCAGGACACAGCCTGAAGCAATGGTTGAGCACCAGGTGTGGCTAACACAGGGAGCTCAGGTGCAAGCAATGCACCTGAGTGACTGGAAGGGGTGGAAGCTAGAGCCATTCTTCCTCTCTCATTTATGGGTTAGAAGCCAAAGGAGTTACACCTCACTGAGGCTGTACTTGTTTTGAGTTGTTGTCAGTCATCTGAAGGGGTAAGTTAGTCTTCTTTATTTAATCGTCTTGTTCTAGAGTGCTTGCATCCTAGGAAAAGGCTCTGTCATTGCCTTTGCTTGTCCTACACAAGCGATCACTGCAACTGTAACCATTACAGGAACAGAAATACACAACATATTTGGCGTTTTTAAGATCAAACAAGATAACGTTACAGTTCTCTCGCTTTTTTTTTTTTTTTTTTTGAGGCATTGTCCTCTGAAACTGCTAATAATGACATTCTGTGTACAAGCATTTCAAAAACTGTTAATGGGCCTCAAAATCCAGATACTAGATTAAAGCAAGAATTTAACAGCCTAGTCCTATTCAGCATCTTAGTCCTGAGGCAGATTTAGGCAGCTGTGCCTCATTTTGATTTTAGATATCATAAACCATTAGGAACAGTGATATTTCCCACGGTGCTTAAGTCCCAATCAACAGCTCACTGCTTTGACAATATGATTTCACCTCATCTATGTACTTTAAGTAAAATCTTTAATTAGATGATATCCCATTCTCATGCCTTTTACATTAGAGAGTAAAATCTGGCTAATGACAATGTATTAAAAATAGATGTTAGTATCTCTTCTTTTATCTCTTTGATAATAGAGATGAATTGAACCATTTGAAATTTTGTATAGATCCCAAACTGTAATGGTGGTTTGGAGTATCTAAAGGGGGGATTATGAGAAATGGTAACCTCACTGCATGTTTTTTTCAAAGACAGAAAAAATACTTTGCTCTCTTTAAATCTACAGATTCCAATGATTATATCAATCTTACATTGTAAATGATGTTCAGCTGTATCTTTTATCATTGTAATTATGCCACTTCAGGAAAGAGGTTGTCAGTGTTTGGCCAGAGTCCTCTCAGGACAATACAAAATGCCAGCCTTCCTCATAAAAACTTGGTCATTCACTTGAAAGAGGCATTATTAGTTATGCATCTTTTAGTTCTGACTCATAAGGATTTAGACTGAAATGAACAGTAAGGCATGTTGCTACTAGTTGTTCTATAAAAATGTTTTCCACAAATTCCTGTATTCGTTAACTAAAATCAGATTGTTATATTATCTTGGAACTAACGTTATGTTAGCACCAGTTCACAATCTAAATTGTTCTGTATTCTGACATCTGATTCCCTTCTCCACCCTTTTTCCTATCTTCTCCTTCACCATCAGTCCTGCTTTTCAGCTGGAACTAATGGCCTCCACAAATAGTGTTAGCACCAGAATTTAAAAAATCCTGTTCTGAAGGAAGACCAGTATGTTCATGTTATGCAAAAATCTTAGCTTTCTTCCTTCAGATCCTGCTCCCAAATGCAGCTATTACCTCCATAAATCAATGACCTCACTCTTACAGCTGAAACAACCATCATTCACTGTAAGTACGATTAATGGCCTTGCCTTTAAGAGGCATTACAATGACACAGCCAAAGAATACTGACACTAGAAATTGTTTTCATTTTTTAAATGCATGTGAGTTATCTGTCCTCTCTGGTAAAGAACATAAATAGAAGCCATCTATTTCTTTTTGTTCAGAGCTTACTGGGAATTTCTTTCTCATTTTCTTGACGTAACTGTGCTGTCTGCTTCTGTGGCAAAGTGTGCCATGGATGTTTACTTCTGTACACAACCAAAGCTCTTGCAGTGATATTGTCTAAACTACATTGCAAAATCCAGAGCCTGGAATGTGTGGAGCTTTGGAACTGACTGAATTAGACAGCACAGTTGTGTGTTTCTGAACAAGTCCTGCCTTATACTGGATTCTGCTGCTGCACGTGTTGCTGTCATGTTCTGGACATGCGATTTTTGGTGGATAAAACTGTATTATCTTGGAATATTTGAAGTAATTATAGAGTACAAGATAAAAGATGATTAGGAGGGAAAAAAAATCACCAAACATTGAAAATCTCAGGGAGGAACATATAGATAATACAACAGAGCAAAAGAAAAATGAAAGCAATATATCTGAAGTTACAAAAGCAAACGATTAAGAAACTTTCAAAGCCTCTTCCAGCAGGAAGAGACCAGCTAATATGATGCTCTCACTTTCCTTACAGAGTGTTTGCACGGGCACCTTTCCTCTATGGAGTTATGAAGTTGTTTCTCAGACACTGGTTTTCTGACCAAACTCAGTTGATAGATTTGTTATACGAAGGTTTCTAAAAGAATTTATGTTCCTTTGATCTAATTTCAAATACACATACAACTCCGAGAAATAAGAATCTTGTTATATAGCCACAGAAGTGTTGACATTTTCTCCACTCAGCATCAGAGCTGCTAAATCCCACGCTACTAAACAAATACGCGCACATGCATATATGTAACATGTTCCCACAAAACATTATTTCTTACATTATTTATATGACATCATCCTTGAATAACAATGTGTTTTTGTCTTCTTCCATACAAAGTACCACCTGGTGAATGACGTGTCACATGATTTTTCTTCTCCTGCAATCAGATGCAGTATGTCAGTACAACTACTTTCTTTCATGTCAGCTTATGAAACTGAATATCTAACATGAAACCACTCCAACATGTGGCCTGCTTTCATAGAAATAAGGGGCTTTGGTGTCCTCATGACCTGACAAGGAACCTTATGCACACCATAGGAAGACCATCTGTAACAGCAGCTTATCCCATCACTTCACGTTTATTTAAAGCTGTTTGTCCATTTTTCCTTTGCTTCTTGTTCTTAGCCCTAACCCAACTGTTTAAACTATCAAGCTCCTCTCTTCTACATCTTCTCTCTGAGTTTCTGAGCAAACTGCATCTGCTTCTTCTCTTTCCATTCTTTCTATTACCGCATCCTCTCCTTCAAAGTCTCAATATTCTCCATCCTACCATCTTTGCCACTCATCCTTCACAGAATCAACTCCTGCAGTCACGATACATCCAATCCCTTAAGAGCATATTTCTTTGCTTTCATATCTGTGTTCAAATTTCAGGCTTATAACTGGTGTGTTCCCTAAGTCTGTTTTTATCAAACAGTAATTTCTTTGATTTTGATGTTTGGTTTTTTTTCA